TGGGATGCGACAGGAGACGTCTTGGAGGTTGGTTTCATGAATTTGGTTGCAATTGTCTCATCCATCCATCAATCTCACTAACAACTCTGTACTTTATATTTTCTGTTTCTTTTAACTGTCCAAATTTTCTTTTTTCTTTTTTATTTTTTATATAGAATGCAGTGATTAATTTAGGCCTGTTAATTTGTTGGACGATTCGTTAATTCGATATTAAACGATACGAAAAATAACAGGTTTAGATTCGGATCCACCTACTAACAAGTAATGTCTTTATGAGGCATCTGTTAATAATTCGGATCGTTATCAGACATATGTTAAAACACACGTTATAATAACCAGTATGACACTTAAACGATTTGTTTTCCATGTCTAAACATTAGGTAAAACAATTTTTTGCATGACTCATTAATCCGACATAAAACAACACAACCCGTTAACGAGACTAAGTAGCAATTAGTGATCAATAATGTATGATCAGAATCATAATTTGTGCTACTATTGAATATTTAAAATAATCGATCATAATTCTTGATGGTTGTAATTTAAATTTCATACGTCCAACCTTATACAAGCATTCTATGGCTGTGATCATGAACTGAACCAAAAATTCGATTTTTTGGTTGAAATATCGCTACATGGGTATAAATGGTTGGTCTTTAAAAACCTACTACGAGAATGAAGTACCATTTGAACATGTTATAATTAAATGGTTAATTCATACATAATTAACTCAAAGTATTTTACTTAGTCATCGACCCTTCAACTAAAATTGGATTAATTAATTGGGGGATTAGAAAGAGTAGAATTAGGGTAATTCAATACTAATTAAGGTGTTTGAGAAGGCAAGGCAATGATGTAAATGTAGGGCCATATGACGGTTATTTTATCTAATCATAGTATGGTAAAAAGTAAGAATTTTTTTTTAATGTGTTAAGAACATAGTTCGATATACTAAGTGTAACAATATAATTAGTTAAAAATATTTTTTTAAAATATACCAAACTGTGTTATCGACACACTCAAAATAATGTAGGACCATATGACGTTGATTTTATCTAATCATAGTATAGTAAAACATTACGAAATCCAAGTCATGCTTCACATTTTCTAGTTGTCCTTATCCAAACGCAAGGTTGTGGATCGAGGTGTGTGTGTGTGTATATATATATATATAGAGGATATACTTTTTCACCTTTTGTCGTTTAAGATAAAAATACGTGTTGAGTGCCTAATTTTTCTAATGATTAATCATCCATATGTTTTTATTTTAATATGAGAGATTGTTTGTGTCTCATAAAGTAAGGTGCCTACGATTCTGCAGTATCACATTGTAAATAACTATAACTATCTTCTAAGCATCATTATCTCCCCTAAATTTTATCTAACTAAACCAGAGATCTTGAGCATATAATGATTATATAATCTCTAAGACTAAAAAAATATATTATCATTTTATTCTCACATGTTTTGGATGTTTTCTTCATCTTTTTCGCTGTATTCGAGTGATAATGAGAGAGGAGGAGAGAAAAGTTGGGGGGGTGGGCCGCGAGTTACAAACTTAAGTGATTGATGTCTAAGCCTTCGTTGCTCTTTAAAATATAATAAGGGCCGTTTGAAAATACTTCTTAGAAATAGCACATTACATGTGTTTCTTTCAAAAATGACTTGAAGTATTTATTTTTAAACATAAAAATACTTTAAATTTTTTATGTCAAACATGATTAAAAACGGTTTTAGTATTCTAAAAGGGCTCTTAATTATTTTTACTTAATTTTCTAAAATAGCATATTTATGGCCGTTACCAAGATAAATAGTTGCATGGCCTATCAAAATTTTAATGTAGAAAAGTTGTACAACATTTAATTCGAATCACTACTATTTCAATAGGTTTGGTGAAACTATGATGTTAAATTACAGTTCAAGTATGTTGCGACAAGGATTGATGAAAATGTTATGTTGGCGTAGCGAAATTAACAGTGAACATATAATCTAATAAATTATTGGACTTATTGGATCGGCATTAATCATTCTTTTCATAAATAACCACGATTTCTTCTTTTTCGTTAACAAAAAAGTTTGAGGAGAGATATATTTCTTTCACAACATAAAAATTTAGGAAGAAATTGATTTCTTTCACCATTAACATCAAAACATACACACAATTTCAAACCGAAAGAACTTACTTGTGAAACCTAACTAAATAACCACGATTTCACCTACTATTATGTTTCTCGAAATGTCATTACGTTGACAGTACCTCCACTCAAATGGACAGATTTAGAAGGAAAGGTCAATACACCTCGCAGTTAAACTACTTGAATGATGACCGTAGTTCGACAACAACAAAAAAAATGATGATTGTAAATAGCTGACCGTACAGTTGCTAGATGCTGGTGCATGGACCACAATAATTATAGTCAAGAATGTCCGAGAAAAGACGGATTTACGCATTTACACACCTACATAACATTTTTTGCAAATGAGAATTTGTAGAGAGACAAAAAAATGTACTTGATTATTTACAGTTAACATTTCATTCATTTTTACTTTCAAATAAAAAGCAGTTAATTGACAATTTTTAACTAGAAGTGAGAGAGGAATTTTAACTCGGATATTAAGAACTCATACGTTGTCGTGACCTGAAAACCTAAACATGAACAAAACGGAAAGGATGGGTAATAGGGTTGCACTAAAACATTGTTGAGATTTTCAACCCGATCAACGTCTGAACAACAAGGAGAGCTCAACTACTAGTCTAGTTTAGTCGTCGTTTTTTTCTACTAGTTGCGATGCGAACATACATTTACTTATGTTATGAGATTTATTGAGTAGGCTTGTGTATCGAAATAAAAATGAAATCTATATAAAAAATTGTATTCACACGTATCAAACTACAGTTTAAGTGTAAGAATTCCCAAGTATTTTCCAAAAATAAGAAAACTGAAGAGCAACTAGCGGGGGGACCGATGCCAAAGCCATGTAGGTAGCCATAAACGCCATACAGCATCCGCGCTCCTCTAACGGGCCCCGCCATATTGTTTGGACGTTTCCTACTCTTCTCATCCGGGCCCCACGAGCTTGGGGGACCACAACCCACAAGGGGGACCACACCTCGAATTGATTAAGCCGGCGGCTGTCACAGAAGTCAAAAATTCTCAGTGGTCCCGCTTCTCATATCTCTCCACGTGTGCGGCCTAGATCAGTGTGCGGCCTAGATCTGCTGATCTTGGCGCGTGCTTGGAGCTTGTCCCCACACCGTGGTCCAAGCGAGCGCAGCGCGACGCGTGTCCAGGCATCGCTTTCCCGCAAGGGTCGGAGAGAGGAGCGACGCCGGCCCTTCCCGTCTTTACGTTTATTTTATCGGCTACGGCCGGTCACCCGAAGAGGCCGGTGCGCCGGTGCTGGTTTGGTAGTTCGTCACGCTGGCTAGGATGACGTGGACTGCACGCTCCAAGAGTGGTGGCCCTGTGGGAAGGTTGCTAGGATGGGTTTGGATCCTCTCCGGATTCTCTCGCAGGGGATCTGAAGATCAAGAGGCAATGACTGTTTATCAAAGATTGTGCGATCACAATTAAATATTTTTTATATTTTTAAAAGTAAAACAATCTTGTTTTGCGTAAAAAAACATTTAATTGTAGTCGTACGATCTTTAATGAACGGTCTTTGTGCCTTGATTCATGGGATCCCTAGGGAAAGGATCCGGAGAGGATCCAAATCCTGCTCGGATGACCTCAAACTACAATTTAAAGTGTATTAAAATCTCACTATTTTATTTTTTTGTTATTAAAATTAAAATTTTAGTGTCACTTAGAAAGTAATTATTTTTAATTTAACATACTAAAGAAATACGCTTGACCTAAGTAAAAGTGAAAAAATTGAAATGAGATAATTAGTTTGAAAATTTCGAGCAATCATTCAAAAATTTAACCATTTTATACAACAGATTGCACTATTTGATGACAGAACGAAATCACGCCTTAAACTTGTCCAATCTTTGTTTATTTCTTGGGTATTATTACTAAAGTAAACATCAAATCATTAATTATTAAGCTAATCCACGTTGGTGATAATAACATGCCAAGATTTTCATTGAGTTATCTTTTGCTTTTTGTTTTTCTTTCCTTCTTGTGATGCTAACTTTTTGTTGTGAGTTTTAAAACTTAAACATAAATAATGTCCCGTAAAGTGAATAGAGATCCCAACTACCCCAAGCTAAACCTACTTATGTTAATCGTTAAATTGGAATTATAAAATACACTAATATTTCTTAAATTATAAGTTCGCTTATCAAACCCAAACATCTTTTGACAAATCATCGCTCATACCATTACTTTTCTTTGATATAAAAAATTAAAATATCAATATAATCCTAGATTTACTATTGACCCCCAATTTTATATTTCTTTATAATAATAATAATAGGGCCACCTCTTTAAAAAAAGATTAAGGTCTAAATAAAATTAATTGATAATACGTGAAATAGCTCAACTTGTTTTAAAGACATAAAATGTACCTTAATTATCCAACATGAGATGTATGCTCTTTACACGCCTCATCATGTATGGTGATTTTTAAATCTAATTAATCAATAATAACTGAACTGCTTATAAGCACATGAGTCCATTCAAGTTTTTAAATTCTCAAATGTGAGATTTACACTCTTAACTTGCCCAAGAAATCCCACCATTTTTTATGAGTAATGCTAGAGATACTAAATTTAGAGATTAAATTTGCAAACTAAATGATGTGTCATCAATAGAAATAAGCACATTTATCAACGTTTAAGTAATCAATCAATCATCAACTTCTATATTTTTTAATTTTTAAAATTTTATCTTTAAAATTTAATCTTTTTAGCACTCCCCTTTTTTATCTTGGGAAAGCAGTTTCTCGAGCCCATTTTTGCCCTCCCCGAAAACTACTGTGTCCAAATCTTCTCTCACTCTCCCTCTAAACAGCTTCACCATATATAAGCCATCAACCCTTGAAACTAAACCCTTTCAGTCTCACTCTCTCTCTCTCTCTCTAAAGGTCTCATCTTTCTCTCTCAACATTTCTGAAAACACACAGAGACCATATAGTCTACAGAGAACAGAGGGAGATCGATATATAGATATACAAATCCAGCCATATATCTTTGTCTTGTTGTCTCTCCTCCCAATTCTCATCCATGTCCTCTGAATCATCGTCTTCACTTCTCCTTTTTTAATTCATTTTTTAGACAGAAAAGAAAAAAATAAATAACAGAGCGCCTCTGTTTCCTTCTCCGACTGTAAATTGGTGTACCCAGCTGATCATCCGTATTCATGGCGTACCACAACCACCTCTCCCAGCCTCTCCACCACTTCACCGACCAAACCCAGCAACAGCACCAGCAATATCAATCGGACCAAACCGACCCGACTTCCAAGCCCCCCGAGCCCCACCACCCATTTCAGCCCGCCCCCAATTGGCTCCACTCCGCCCTCCTCCGCAACTTCACCAACGCCGACACCAACCCGACCAATACCAACAACGCAAACAACAACGGCGGCGGTTCATCCAATTTCCTCAACCTCCACGTTACCGCCTCCGACTCCGTGGCCTCCCAAGCCTCCAACCAATGGCTCTCCCAGTCCCACCGTCCGATCCTCCACCGCAACCACAGCGACGTCATCGATGACGTCACCGTCGCTGGCGACTCGATGATCGCCGCGATGTCCCATGACTCCGCAGACCTCAAGCCCGACAGCAACCTCAACAAGAGCGACGGCGGAGTCGTCGAGAGCGGCATCCCAGGCGGAGGCGGAGGAGGAGACGGCGGGGTGATTAACTGGCAGAACGCGAGACACAAAGCCGAAATTCTGGCGCACCCGCTGTACGAGCCGCTGCTGTCGGCACACGTAGCGTGCCTGCGGATCGCGACACCGGTGGACCAGCTGCCTAGGATCGACGCTCAGCTGGCTCAGTCGCAGAATGTGGTGGCGAAGTACTCCGCCTTGGGGAATGGCATGGTCGGCGATGACAAGGAGCTTGATCAGTTCATGGTAATGCTCTTTGCCTTTTGGTGATGACTTGCCTTTGCTTTTGAATTTTTATTGTAGTGACGAATGAGTCATCAAATTTGGGTAATTGGCTATAATAATTTAAAACACACGAAGGATCGTACCTCATCAATTCAATTAAAAACAAAAGTAGTAGATTAGTAAATCGAATTCCTCAATTTAGGTTTCAAAATACAGAATTTACGCCTTGTCTCATGCTCATTCTTTAAGGTTTAACAAGGAATTTTCTTGTCAATTATATCAAAACCAAAATTTGAGAAATTTATTTGAATTTGATTTTGAAAATTTAAAATTTATAACTCGCCTCGTACTCATAATTTAACAATGGTTGTAATAATATTAGTCCTCATCCAATTTTAAAAAACCTTGAATTCGAACATCATGAACGATAATTGTTAAATTAATTACACCATACAAGGAATTTATTGGTATGCAGTAAGAACTTGGAATGAGATGAGATGGTTGAAGATTTCAAGGAATATAGGGATCTGAAAAAGCTTTAAGGCTACAAGGGAAGAAGGTGCTGACTGCTGACATAATAAAAGCGAAGCCTCTGTGAAACAACAGTTCTGAATCCCCCAATCTTTTTTATAACAAAAAACATGCGGGAACACAAAAGCTGAGATTACCGCAACAAGACGACTCTTTCCCTCTGCAATGTCACTTCCAAATTGTAGTGTATAACGTGTATTTTAACCGTTAAATTATTTTTTTTTAAATGCAAAAATTAAGATTTAAGTGAAAAAGTATGGAATATCCTATAAAATTTTATTCACTCTAGTTTTTAGTACCTATTCATTTTATGCATTAGGTTATAGTTTCATTTACAGACTTCTATGTATAGGACGGTCAGTTTTTTATGTTTTATTAAAGAAGAGATTATTAATATGATGTTGATAATACTGGTAGATACGCGACAATAATAAATAAACTAACATGTTATTGATGCATCATGAATACAAGAATTCATCCCTTAGCAAAAGTCGAATGTTCTGCATCGTGAATTCATCTTCATTGTTAATTGATAATACCATCATAATTTTGATTTGCTTTTGTTGTTGATGATACAGAGGCATTATGTTTTTTTGCTTTGTTCGTTTAAAGAACAACTGCAACAGCACGTCCGGGTGCATGCAATGGAAGCAGTGATGGCTTGCTGGGAGATTGAGCAATCACTTCAAAGCTTAACAGGTAAACTTTTGCAACGACGGCGGTCATGTCTCTTTGGCAGAAGTTAAACTTGCTTACACAAACTACATGAACAGGAGTTTCCCCCGGCGAAGGAACAGGTGCTACAATGTCTGATGACGAAGACGACCAAGTAGATAGTGATGCAAACTTGTTTGATGGAAGTATGGAGGGTCATGACAGCATGGGATTTGGCCCTCTTATACCGACAGAGAGTGAAAGGTCCTTGATGGAGCGCGTGAGGCAAGAACTGAAGCATGAACTGAAACAGGTACTAAATCATGAAATTGTTCATGGTAAATCTGCTATCCCTTTTACTTACATGAACAAATTTTGCAGGGTTACAAGGAGAAAATCGTTGACATAAGAGAGGAGATTATGCGCAAGAGAAGAGCCGGAAAACTTCCTGGCGACACAACCTCTGTCCTAAAAGCTTGGTGGCAGTCACATTCAAAGTGGCCATATCCAACTGTAAGTTTGAGAAGCTATTTGAGTTTGCATTCTAAACATACGAAAATCTACAGGCTTCTTAAAATCCTAAACCCTAAACACATTTCATAAATCCGCAAATTTTTGTTCTCGCCAATGTCTAAACTAGCATGGTGTTTGTATTAATCTGCAGGAGGAGGACAAGGCTAGGTTGGTACAGGAAACTGGTTTGCAATTAAAGCAGATAAACAATTGGTTCATCAATCAGAGGAAGAGGAACTGGCACAGCAATCCTTCAACCTCCACGGTTTTGAAGAGCAAGCGCAAAAGGTATAACAATTGAACCATGCATTCTTCTTAAGTTCACATTTTTCATGAGCCTTGCACCAACCTTAATTTGAAAAGAAGTAATGCAGGTGAAAACAGCAGTGACGACCGGTTCATATAAAATGGGTAAAGGGAAATGGAGAGCCAGTCTGGTTTCGGTGATATTCATTCACTCGCTTCCACTACATTTACAACTCCAACGTAGAAATTGCGATAGCATAGGACTTCATGGAAGAAGACTACAGGACTCAGGTAAAAGAGTCATATTTTGGTTCTACTAAAGGAAAGAAGGCTAACTCTGATTGTGAAGGTGCGATTATAAACCCAATATGAGCCGTTATAGTACAGGTATGCTCAAAGGATGCAGATGATGAACGCGTATGTAATATGAATATATCAATAGGAATTCATGAGTGTTTAGGAATTGTGTTACTGAAACTGCAAATTGGATAGTCCACCGCGGGCTTACAATTTTTTGTTTGTAATCTTCAGTTTTGTGAATAAGAATAGTGAGAGTTGTGGGGGTGTACAAACCTGAGCTTTTGGTTCCATACATCACACTCCTGGTTTTAGCTTTTTTCGACATTTGTTGTTGAGATAATAAATTTGTTAGTAATGGTATGTAAAATTTTAAGTCGCATCTTTGGCGCTCATTCGTGATTTATAAACGAAGCTGTTCAATCCCTCCCCCCAAGCATTGCTCAAACCGCCCTCGAGCAGGGCTCAAACCGTCCTCGACTGGTTAAAATTCTATAAGTTGAAGAAAATGCAACAAGATTCTTTAGCATGTCCGAAACTTGGCTATGTTCAAACTTTCCTAATATATTTGGGCTGCAGATGCGTGCATATTCGGTTCGCACCAAGTGCATATACGTACAAACTTATAAATTCGCATTTTTGTTCATCTGATTCTCAACTCAAAACTGGAAGGGGAATTCTCAAAAACAAAAACTAGTGGCAAAATTCAGCCGTTAGCATGAATGTTGAAGAAACAAAACATTCAAATCAAATCAAAGAATGAGTAATACAATCTCTATATCTATAAACAAACAATTTGATCAACTTCTGCAGGAAGATCAATCTAGCAAATCAGAACTTGGCATTCATCCCTTGTGACGCTGCATATGATCCACTATTCGAAAAATGATGGTATGCAGAAGCAGCACCCTCTGCTTCCCTATCAACATTTCCGTCATCAAAATTAAGCGCGTAACTCTGTGGATCATACTGAAACTGCACCCTTCTTTTCTTGTATATCGTACTAAAAGATCGGATGAAGTTCTTCCACTTTGGTCCAGCCAAAACCTCCGAAATTTCTCGCGCTTTCTTAACCTTCTCCACCAACCAACTCTCTTTCGCTTGTTCTCCTTCTTGTTGTTGCAGCAGATATCTCCGTGCTCCAATCATTCTTCCACACAGTACCCATAAACAACCGCATGAAAAAGATGGATCTATTTCTTCATCGTAGTACTCATCGTTCACTTCCAATGGCGATGGAAATTCGTGAACCGAGGGCATTTTCTCACGTGGGTTTGCCATGAGGATTCAGAACTTGATATCAAAATATGTGATTTGATGCAAAAGGGTGATCAAAGCAAATATAGTATGAATAATGCAATCAATAATTAATAATTATGTAATTAGTGCTAGCTAATTAATAGCTAATAGCTAAAGTGAGTTATGTGTTAGGAAACTGCGTGTGCCGGCCCTTGCCATTTGCAGGTGTGACTTGTAGACTTGTAATTTGTATGGCATCCGTTAATTCACAGTTAGAACAAACCAAACTGCTGTTTTGTCTGTTTTTTGTGATTGGGTCCTCAAGTTCGTTAAATGTTTGGATTAATTAATATTTGAGAGTTATTTCTCGTATATGTCTTGAGTAACAAACTTCAAATAAGAAAGATTAACTTTTTACATGTAAGGAGTTAAACAGTGTTCTAACTTATTTAAGTCTGAAATTTTATGACTAATTTTTGCTAGAGGACCTTATTATTCTAATATTTTAGCCACCTTCTCGGCTATGATTTTAAGGTTTTTAATTTGAATTTAATCCATTTTTTATCAAATTTTTACTCGTTTTCTTTTCATTGCTCGTTTGGTTTCTTCGTGCTTCCCACTACATTTCTTGTGCAAACTTGAAGCCATGAAATTGAACCTAAAAACAAAAAACAACCAAATAAAAAGTAAAACCCATAATTTCAATCACGTCCGGAGATTCTCTCCTAAAATTATTTAATTAAATATTAAGGAAAAATACAACACGAGTTGCTGGCCTCATCATCCAGATTACAATTTGAAGTAAAATGGGCTTTGTGTCGTATTATTTCCTTCATTTGCGTCTCTACTTCTTTCTACTTCTTTCTTGGTCAAAGCTGGTCAACGTACATTTGCTCTAATGGGCCGGCCCAATAAGCAACCGCCACGGTACCCCGGCCCCCTCATTCTATCGACTCTGAACAAAAAAGCCAACCGTTGCACGTCGTACGGAACCTCGAATTCAACTGAAAAATATTATCCTCCATTTCAGTTGCAGAACCCTAGCAGATGACGACGACCCACTTGCAATTTATCAAAATGCACTTAGTCTTTAACTAAACGCAGCAATCTCCGGACCCAAGGCCGGACACTTGGCAGGCGGAGGCGTCGTCGCCGTCAAGCTCTGCTTCGGTTGCGCCAGCAAACCCCCGAACCTCCTGAGGGATATCATCTCATCGGCTCGGTTCACGTCGTCCTCGAAATTCCTGGCGTAGCTCGACGGCTCGTAGCTGAAGTCGACCGAAGACGACGAGTGCCGGCTCCTCCCCCGCCTCCTCGGAGTGACGCCGCCGTTCGCCAGGCTCTTCGCATTGTTCTCGTTAGCCGCCTCAGCGGTTGCCAACTCCTCCTCGCTCTCCAAAATGTTGTCGAGCGCATTGCGGTTTATCTTCCTCTCGTGCGGCGTCGTCGGGATTGAGGAAGCCGAGAGCCGCGCCGAGAATCCGTTGAGGAGCTGGTCGTCGGCTTTGCAGGCGTCATCCTCGAAGTTGAGAGCGTAGCTGGAGGGGTCGTAGCTAAAGTCGGCGGAGACGTTGCGGCGGCGCACTCTTCCGGACCTAACTCCCCCGCCGATCTTTGATATGAGGTGCATGCAGCGGCCTTTGAACTCCGGCAGTGGCGACCTCGGCGGCGGCGTCCGGGCCCTCCGGTTGTTGCAGTTGTGGTAGTAGTCTGCGTCGTTGTCGAGAACGTCGAACGGGTGTGTGCTCATGCCGGAGAAGCAGCCCGAGAGGCAGATTGATCGGAGGTGGCGCTTCTGGTGGTGACGCGACGTCGGTGAATGAGACCGGAATTCCTCGTTCAACATTGATTGGATTGGAGATTGGAGTTCGAAGTTTTCTTTTTTCTTTTTATTTTCTCCGGAAACAAACAGGGCTCTAAAATTTTTGTGGTTGATGGAGAGAAGAGGTGGCGGGGGAAGGCGTATTTATGGGTTGAGGGGGAGTGAGTGGTGGGGGATGAGGAAGCGACGTTTGCGGCGTAAGCTGTAGCTGGAACACCCGAAGAAGCCGTGGGTCGTGCGTGGTACCGGTTTTTACTTTTTTTTTTTCTTTTTTTTCTTCCTAATATTATTTAAACTTAATGAATTAAATTTGAATTATTTTTGGATATTTTGGTGTGAAAGCCGCGTCGTGTACAATTCGTGGACTCAGAGAGTTTGATTGTGTTTATTATGCACGTGCCATTTTTTCCTTTTTTTTCCGGTAAACTGCTATTTTTGCATTTTTTGTGACCCTAATAATTAGTCTCTAATCATAGTTTCCTTACCAAAATAAACATTCATTTGATTTACATGTCACATGTTACAAATCATAATTCTAAATCGTGTTTACTTGATCGAGTTGTACCATGGTCAACTGTGTACGAGTGCACATGCAATTAATTGTAGTATTTTTTTTGTGATTATGATCATTTTTAAATGAAAATTATCTATTACCTTCATGATTATAATACAATGTTATCTTTTATACACAAACAATTTTGGGGGTTGAAGTGAAAATACTTTTTAGCTGATTGATGATGGGCTGATTTGTTTTAGCACTATCCTTAGTGTTAGTGATATGATTAGCATTGATTATGGTTCGAATCTCCATCTGATTAAGCAATATAGGAAGCGAAGAATAAATAATTAAATAATAAAGATATTCCTATGTTTGGATTGACTGATTAGTGCAGTCGGATTAGATATCTTAAATCTGATTTAAATCTTATCTTATCTACTAATCCAAAACCCCAATGTGGCCAAAACAAACAGAATAGAGTTTTTGTCGTATTTGATTTTCCGGCTTTCACGTGCATGCACGAGCGAGCATGAAGCTCACTTGAGATCCATAGAAAATTGCCACGTATTGGGAGTTGATGTGAGGATATTATCTAGACTACTTATTAAAAAAAAAAATGTTATTTTTACTACATATTCATATCATTTTTTTAATAACTTACTTTAATCCGTCCAATGACAAGTGCGAACCATGCGTTCACGATTTTAACCATGGTTGGGAGTTGCTATGCATGTGAGATGATTGTTTCATTTACGCACTTCACTTTGTTAATACATGTTCATAATCATATTAATTATGGTTTAAATGAGTTTAAATTTTAAAATTTGCATTGTATAAAAAAATATTCATCACCACTGAAGGGTTGTGAGTCAAGATGCACCTTTAAAAAAAAAAAAAAAACAAAAAAAACCTTGATTTCAACCATAGTTTTCAACGGTGGAGGAGAAAGTAAAAATAAAACCTATATAAGCACCTATTATTGGATTGAAATCGAACGGTTAGTGACATTAATTTCTTGGTCCCTAAATCGTAGTGTATATACTTGATTGGAAGTGGTGAACCCCTTCTCCAAAATTAGAAAGGTTGAGTACAAGAGTCCAAAGCTTAAACTGTATATAGTAATCGTACGTACATTTAAATTCAATCTAATGAGTTTGAACACATATTTATATACAATCGGTGATTGTAAAGTGATCAAATCGAATGTCTTGGTGTTTAGAGGGGTTTTTTTTTGGGCCTAATGTGTATTTGCTCTCGATGCTAATACTTGAGGGTTATGCCGGCCCAAACGGGAAATTTAAGGCTCTTCTTTAGGGCCCAAGGAGTCAAAGACGGTCGTTCAGGTCCCATCGAAACACGAGACGGAAACTCAGTCTGCAGAAAATCCCGGAACCCTCCTGAAGTTCAAAAAACCCTCCAAAAATCTCCACTGTTTTTTTTTTTACTTCCTCTTTCGTCCTTCATCAACCTCTCAGCTCTCAGTCTCTCATGGTAAGTAATCCAATCCCCAATCTCTCTCTCTCTCTCTCTCAAATTTCTTCATGCCTCTCTCTGTATTCCAGGAATCGCAGCAAGATAGACAGTCTCCGGCGGCGGCGCTCGAAGACTGCTTGAAGCTATTGAAGGGCGAGAGAGACGAGCAGCGCCTCGCCGGCCTTCTCCTCGTCACCAAATTCTGCAAAGGCGACGACCTCTCCTCCCTCCAGTCCATTTACAATGCCGTCGGCGTCGGCTTTCTCGACCGACTCCTCAGGACTGGTAACTTCTACAAACTCTTTCATTTTTTTCCTTTATTTGTTGAATTTTCACTTTCTGTCAATTTTTTGGAAACTGAAAGTTAATTCGAAGTTAGTTTCGAGCTTTGAGAATGATGCATGAGTGAAATTTAAGTAAATGATTCCGAATTTTGATATTGCTTTGGTTAGGGATGGGAAGGGGAAGCATTAGCAGTAGCGGAAGTGAAAATCGGGATGCGTATTTGCAGCTATCGGTTACTGTTCTTGCTGCATTCTGTCGTGTTCCGGAAATTGCTGCTGCAAACGACATGGTTTCGAAGATTCCATTGGTACTGGAAGTTTTATCCAACATGTAGGGTTCTTGTCCAATTGAATTTCTTTTCTTTGATGCTAGAATTGTGTTTTAAGTAACACATTGATTGCCGAATGACCTGATCATTTTATTCGGTGAGAATACAGACCAGGATCGGCTGTTCTTGATGAATGCTATGAATTTTTGTATTTGGTGTCAACGGCTTCTGAAGACGGAATCATGATGATGTACTCATCTGGTGGCATGAAAATGCTGGCTTCTCATATGTCCGTTTTGCCAGACGGTAATTGTTCTTGTCTTCTACTGAGCTTTTTAAAGACCCTAAAGGATCTTGTTAACGATCCGTCATTGCATGTTTAAATTTTGTTGCTTTCTAGGCAACTGTAAAGTTTGGAATCATTTGTGATCGTTATTCACTGTAATGTATCTTTTTGTTTCTTTTGATAAGAAAGCACTTTTTCTCGGTGACTTACAGGATTAGTTCATCTGTCTCAAATTACAAATGATTGATGAGATGAAATTTCTGTACAGGTTCTCATCAAATGGAGCTTGCTATGAAACTCGTGCAATTGATACTAAATAAACTGTCTCTTGACATCATTAGCAATGACTATCTTCAGGAACTTGCAGTGATTGTAAGTTGAATTTCTGGATATCTTTTACTTCACGAATTCTTCAAATATTATACTATCCTTTGTTTCACTTTAGCTTCGAAAATTTACTTTTGCAGTTATGCTGGAAGTAAATTTTCTGAATTGAAATTGATAATCTTCTTTGAAATTGGTATATGAATTTGAGTTATTTCTGCTTTAATACAGGTGGCTGCAATAGCGAGGCAATTTGCTGTCTTGCATAGTGCTGTGAAATTTGATGCGCTCCACCTACTGTCTGCCATCCTCTCATCGCAGTATGCGGTATGAAATCATTATTTATTTCTCTTTTCTAGAAATAAAAAAAGGATTATTTGACTTAGCTAATTTAAATGATGAATGTTTTCTTATCAATTTTGATTGTTTGACAAAATAAGGCTCCTTTTAGGTATAATTAAATTACCGGAGGCAAACTCTCCAGTTCTCTGTTGATATCGGTGACTTTTAGACTAATTATGTATCTTCCTGGTATTTTCAGGCACCACTTTGTGATTCTCTTCGTGTATTACCAGAAAAAGATTTGCCAAATTACATACGCGATGGTATTGCAGCCATTCTACAAAACCGTGTTGGTATGTTGAACTAATTATTTAATTCATTTTTGTTTTAGTCTTTTAGATGAAAATGGTGAAGTATGAATATGTTGTCATGTAGAGAAGTTATCGTAGTCTCTGATATTTTAGCATTTTCATTATTTTTCTTTTAAGTTTTGTTACTTTCTGTAAGTTCCTTGTTAATTATATTTTTTAAATGAAAAGTGGAGGTTATTAATGTTATTTTCTTGTCATTTAATGGCAGCGCCTACCGAAAAGCTTCAGGCACTTATTTTGGCTGATTCTATGATGATGATATACGGGGAACGATGGTTGATAGGTCAGATCAGCTTAAGTGAGTTGAAAGAGCCTATTCCAGCTGACAGGTCTGCTATGCCTGTATATGATACATGTCTGCATTTCCGAGTGCATGTATGTGTGTTGATTTTATATAATGGGCAGGTCTGATAGTCCATGTTTGTGTCTTAATTTTTCAGGTGCCTAGTGCTAGTACTGGAGCAATCAAGGGTTGAAGTTGCGGTTCTTCTTAATGAGCTTGCCCAGTTGAAAGATGAAGCATCCAAGAAATCTACGGCCCCTGCTGAGACAATTTGTTTAAAGAAACGGAATGTGGCTATTGCCTTTTCCTTACTTGAAAAGATAATTAGCTTAATATCAAATGCCAGTGAGAATGAAGGTAAGCCATTTTTGCCAGATTTGCAGGTTTGGGAGTTCCATAATTTTTGTGGAGAAGCATGATGGGGTAATGTGTGTGAAACATTAATTTAAATTTCCTCCCTATTTTATATTTAGTATTTTTATTCTTTCAGTTTCCTGACTTATTTTTTGTGTTGACTTGCAAAAGAGCTGTTTGGTACAAATATACGCTTATCTCTTAGCTTCAGTAAAATGTTAATCATCTCTGTGCAATTGTAGGGGATCCTATTGATGAGAATACTTGCATGACGGTGATTAAGGGCCTTAACGAGACAATTGGCGTGGTTTTAGAGTATTTACAAGATGCAAGGGTAAGCGTAGTCATTTTATATAATTAGAGTTAATATTACTTTCATTATTTAATCACGTTATGATCCACAGGAACATGGACAAAGGAAGGGAGATGATCTTCTTGCTTCAGTGCGGCTAATTGGGAGGTATTATTGCATTTGTCTAGTTAACATGTTGGTGAAATTCATGGAGACATAGGAGCCACTGTTTTTTATTGTTGATATGCATGTTTCAGCTATCTTGCAGAAACACCGCTTGCATGCAAAGAGAATGTTAGAGAACTTTTAGAGTATATGCTTTCTGTGGAAGGCGAAGATGAACAAGGGTATATTATCTCGGAATAATTATAGTCTAATACACAGACAAACTTTAGGGGTTTATAAGCTTTGAAAATGATCTTTTATTTGTAATATGTCCAAATGACAGCCCCTTCTATTCTATATGCTTTTTGCTTCCAATGCTCTGCCAAATGACAATGGAGATTGAAGGATGTAAAGCTTTGGTTTCCTGTGGTGGCCATAACGCTGTAAGTCTGGATTTTTTAATCCTCTTTTATAAAGTACTTGCTCTATACATTTTTCCAAATTTTTTTTTTTGTTTTTTTGTTTTGTTTTATGTAATGGCCTCGTGATGTAGCCTCAAGTTGAAGTCTACAATAGCAATTTAGCAAGCATGTTGAATCGATTTGCAGGTTGTTGATTGCCTTGTAAAATTGATTGGGCCACATGGCTATATGGTTGAAGATAATGATCGCATTCTTTTGGCTTGTGACACAATCTTGAATCTTCTTTTAAAGGTAGTGTAATCATCATTATATACCAAGAATATTATTTATATTATGCAATCTATGATCTTCTGTTTCTTTTTCATATATAGAAAGAGCAATTGCAAATCCCACTGGATGATTCAGTGCTTGTTAATCTATTGAAAGCACTGGCATACTGGACAGGTACCCTTTTATCAACTTTCTTTACCATTAATACGTGCATTGAAACTGCTCATTGTTATGAAACCACATTTCCTTTCGTTTTTATAATGCAGCAGTGGTATTATTTAGGAAAACTGATAGTATTGGTTTTGATTTTGGTGTTGCATTAGAATCATAACGAAGGGCATCCAGTTCATTTTTCGAAAGCGGTAACATTTTGGAGACTATTCCATTTGGAGAGTACCCCGTTTACTCTTTACTGTTAAAACTAAGATTTTGTTTCGTGATTTTAGGAGCAAAAAGACTTATTAACTCTAGAAAAACCGAACCAAGGAACTTTTGGAGACAGATTTGTATTTGAATCAGAAAGCCTCTGATCTCAAATATCTTTCTTTTATGCCAAAGTGTAATAGTTTTCTCTTTCATGTTATGTCGTTCTGTTTTTGTAGTCTGATTCGATTTTTATCTTTGCGTTTCCAATTGTGATATAACTTACAATTTTAAGGGGTTTTATTTATTTGCTTCAAATAGTGCATAATATGATGTGGGCCCATCACGTTGTTTCAAACTTGATATACTTGACAGAGCTTAGAGCTGTATTACCAGCATTCATTTTCGTTCTGTGCATGCTCTAACCTCCTATCTTTTCATCCTTCGTTCATGCAAAAAGAGATTGGGCATCTTAATAATTCTTGTACACCTGATTTCAGAGGGTAAGGATGACCCATCCACTATTATGATGGCTTCAAGCATTTGCTCGCTGCTCTTTGATTTGACATCCGAGAAGGCTCTTCTTAAGCATCCTAACTTTGATGACAGCACTCTAGATAGTTTATCTCGTCTCATCGCTAGAAGTATGGCTTCATGGGGACAGGTATACTGCATGATAGGAAATTGATTGATTTTTCTTTTTAATTTTAAAAAGTTGTAGCTTATGAGGTGCCCGTTATCAAATTCGTTGTAGGGTGTGTCTGATGCTGCTAAAGAAGAAGCGGATCTTCTTGAGATTGTCACGTCAGGTTTGTTTCTTCGGAATTTGGTCCCAAATTACTCAACTATTCCTGCGGTTGAAAATGTGTATAATTCTCAGAAGCCTTGCATTAGTGTTCATAGGATTTTGAATCGTCAAAATGTTGCAGGATATTCTCAATGGGCGAATCGGTTCTCTCGTGTGAGGAAAGCCGTTGAGAAACAGCCAGCTGGTCCTGCAGCCCAACAATGGACTTTTATTTACTAATATGGTTGGTTACGGCTTACAACAATGAGGCGTTGGATTCTGTCAGATGGATGATGAAATTGTGGGAGGAAATTATCCTTGTGTTCTGTTTCAACTTTAAATCGAATGCGCCCAGCCGAAGGACAACGCCTCATGCTTATCAGCTTCCTCTCTCCCATCACCAACGAGTTTTATGTATCGAATAGTTCTGTATTTTTTTTGAGTTACAGTTTTTCTGTATATATATTTGAATGTAAGTAGTTCAAGGAAAAATACGTTTTTACACAATGCGAGTACGAGTTGTGTTGGCTCATATATGCAAATCCGTTATTGTTTGTATCTCCTTATAATTTATGTATCTACTCTCAGACATATATTAGAACGCGCAGATACATACAAATGAACGCTAGTCCCTCATCGACTGTGACCATTAATATCGACGGCTTTATATGGAAATGCTTCCCAACAAGGCTTGTCCCTTCGGGGACATCCGATAAAATTGGAACGATACAGAGAAGATTAGCATGGCCCCTGCGCAAGGATGACACGCATAAATCGAGAAATGGTCCAAATTTTTTTGTTATTTTTGGGTTATTTTTTTGCTTTCGTCGAGGTTTTCACCCGACAACAATTCAATCACAAAGCTCCTTCATCAGTGACCTTTTTGTATAATTTTCTTGTTTGCGTTAAGGTGTCGTTTGAACGACAACTCAATCACAAAACTCTTTTATCAGCGATCTCTCTCGTTTATGTAGCATCTTACAATGAAAATTGTCTCTAACACCAATGTAGTCTTGTTGCACTCTTGCAACTTTTATGTAGCATTTTTATTAAGTAGAAGAATAGCTTATTGGAGTGTAAGTTGATTAAGATCATAATTAACCTTCCCAAGTTAATTTAATTAACCTAACAGCTAACTATTTAATCAAGTAACTCCATCGCTTGTTAAAAATTAAAAAAACACACCAACCAGCCCAACATAATAAAGGCCCGGGCCCAAAAAAGTTGGGTAAAATCTAAATGAAACGGAGCACCTACAGGCTACAGCCACCACCTTCACTTGCTACTGAGATGAACACACAGACGACTTTCTCCAGGCGGCATTTTTAGAGAGAGCAAGCTAGAGAGAGAGATACAATGGGTTGTGGAAATTTCTTCTTCACCATACTGGTGACCTTTTCCGTAGCTCTGATCACGTATAACATCATAATCTCAGCCAATTCGCCACTCCAGCAGGACCTTCCAGGTCCGTCGAAAACATCATTGTCGATTAGTGTGGACCCCATTATCCAGATGCCATTTCACAGATCGCGAGGAAAATCGGGGAGCTCCAAGCGACTGTTCCACACGGCGGTGACGGCCTCTGACTCCGTCTACAACACGTGGCAGTGCAGGATCATGTATTACTGGTTCAAGAAGTTTCAGAACGAACCCGGTTCGGAGATGGGCGGGTTCACTAGGATCTTGCATAATGGGAAGCCGGACAAGTACATGGATGAAATCCCAACTTTTATTGCTCAGCCTTTGCCTGCTGGAATGGATCGGGTTGGTGGGCTTTTCTCTTAATTTGTATTTATTTTATGAATTTTGATTATTCTGTTTATGTTTATCTGCTTTTTGGAAGTTGGTAGCTGAATTTAGCATAATTTTGGACTTTTTCGTATGTGTGGGAGATGGGATTTTATTATTTTTGTCTAGAATTTTGGGTTGCTGAGTAATGTTGCAAATGGAGAAGTTAGAGTTTGGTTGCTTTTTTGGGGACATTGCTAATATAGTGATGAAGAATTTACTTTGATGATTAAATTATGCAATCTAGACTTGTGAATTACGGAACCCTGAAGGAATTTAAACTTCTTTCGGTCTAGCTTGTTTACAAAAGAAGCGGGTGAAGTTTTGTGGTGATGAAGTATTAATCTCCGTAACTGTTATTTTTGTAGAAATTACTTTGTAGTAGTTTCTTAGCTTCCATTTCTGCAATCACAGGGTTATATAGTTCTCAACAGACCATGGGCATTTGTGCAATGGCTTCAGCAAGCAGACATTAAAGAAGAGTACGAGCGATGCTTTACTTCCTAGTTTCAGTACTTAATAAGTTGGATCATCTTTGGTGTTTCTGTTAAGGTTGACTTACCTATATTGTATGGTTACCGTGTATGCAGTTATATACTGATGTCGGAGCCCGATCATGTGATTGTCAAGCCCATACCAAACTTGTCCACTGACGGGCTTGGAGTCGCATTTCCTTTCTTCTACATTGAACCGAAAAGGTACGAGTCAGTGCTCCGGAAATACTTCCCTGAGAACAAGGGACCAATAACTAACATTGATCCAATTGGAAATTCTCCCGTCATTGTTGGGAAGGTATTTAAACTTGTCATCTGCCAGTTATAGCAACAGTTATCTTTAGGTTTATGGTGTTTTGACATTTTTCAAATCTATCATTTTCAGGAATCTCTTAAGAAGATTGCTCCGACCTGGATGAATGTTTCTTTGGCAATGAAGAAGGATCCTGAAGCAGACAAAGCTTTTGGATGGGTGCTTGAAATGTGAGCTCTCACTAGTTAACTTAGTTCTTTGATGACATTACACAAGTTTCCAACTACCTTAGCTATCAAAACACTTGTTGACCTTTTACGATCATGTTGTGTTGCATAATTATATAGGTATGCTTATGCTGTTGCATCCGCTCACCATGGTGTTGGTAATATCTTGTACAAGGATTTCATGCTTCAGGTTTAGAACCCGTTTTCTTTCCTTGTAATGTTTAAGTTTTTTCATGATCGCAAGTTAATTTATCCATTCGTTACTGTCTACAAGATCAATTGGTTGGTTCACAAAATTTCAATTTTTTTAATTTTTATATTCTAATGCTTAACTTACCAGCATTACTATTTTTCTGATGTATATCAGCCTCCATGGGATAAAGAAATTGGCAAGAAGTTCATAATTCATTTCACTTATGGATGCGACTATAATATGAAGGTACGATGTTTGATAAGCTCTTGTATACTTTCATGTGCAGTATCTATCGAGAGTGAGGATATTTTTATTTCTGACAGTTTGATTTACTGCCCAATACATGTCTTCAGTTTTCAAGAAATAAGAACTTTCAGCTCTTTAATATCTGGTTTTGATTTTCTGATATCAGGGTGAACTAACATATGGGAAAATTGGAGAATGGAGATTTGACAAACGATCTTATGGTACTGTTGCACCGCCTAGAAACCTTCCTATGCCTCCACATGGTGTTCCAGAAAGTGTGGTATGTATCACCACCTAGTAGTACAGTAGTACTGTAGTAGTAGTGTTCCTGCATAATTGGTTACACTAGCGAAAAACATGCAGTTGACCCTGCTTATTCTATCGTGTCGGAAATTTAAACGTGCAGGTGACGCTGGTGAAAATGGTGAATGAAGCGACAGCAAACATTCCGAATTGGGGGGAATAGGTAAAAGAGCCTGGTTGGAGCTGATGTAGACACTGAGCCTGTACAGATAAAGCTGTGCTGCCTTTTGGTACACTGATGCCACTTGCGGAAAAGTTTGCGAAAATTTTCATGTCTCGCTAATCAGCTTGGGTTGCACACTTGGCTTCACAATCGAGTTCCGTTGCTCGTATGACCTAATTATGAGAATTTTACCGCAAACATGAATACATCTTGTGAATCATAAAGTTAATTATATAGGTAAGGATGTGTTATCCACACACTCATTTTTACTTCAAACGTCAAATTCATGATCGAAAATGGTAACATTTGTTTTCTCCTTGCTACGCTCTGAAGTTAGCTTTTGATAACCAATGTTAGGATTTTCCCTTTGATTAGAATTGTGGACGCCTGAACTGAGTTTTCGGACATCGGGAAAAGTACAGTTATTTTACTCGGATTGAGATTCATTCTGGATTTCTTTGTCCGGAGCCACGGATTGAGAGATGAAACGGTGGGGATCTCTCTCTCCTTTGAACGGTGGGGATCCAGAATGAATCTCATTCGCACAGGAAGGTGGACAACGATGGACGGCATGTCTCCACAAGTATCCACAAGGTTTTGGATTCCTCCCCACATGTGCTCCCATGGTAACCAGATGATGGACGACAAAGAAGATGAGGACAATATTAATGTGGTATTTTCATGCTCGGAATTCCAAATTTACCAAAAATTATACATCCTTAATATTTGAAAGTCGTCCCACGAAAATTTACAACAAATACATGAAAAAAACAAGGAATAATTACATGCACGCATCTTCGTCCTCAATTCAAGTAGCGCCTGCAATTCTTTGAATTGCAAAAACATGGAATCTTCTTACCTTCATCCTCATGGTTGAAGTGGTAGTCATATGTAATCTCTTCTCCGGGGAATATGTCCCGCTCCGCGAAAAATACCACCTGTGAATTGGGAAAACTCAGTAACCACTCCCAAAACATTCATACGTCATTTCTGCTTCCAAATGTGAACTCTCTACATTTCAAAATAGGGGAATCGCTTCGAAATTCTACGGCTACAGTTTCTTAAAACAATTTATGTGACCAGACACCAATTTTCATACACAACTTTTAGTTTGAACAAACAATACTTCGAAGAGAGGAGAAAAAAAAATTTAGTATCACGATAGATTCCAAATTACCTTCTTTTCATTCCTCACAGACATCACTTTGGCGACGCAATTTGGCTGGTCGGGTAAATCAACAGCAAAGTGAGAGAACTGAGTGAGAAGTACAAAATGGTAAAAAAATGAGTTGACTGAAGAACAGAGAATTACCGAGCAGGAATGGTTGACAAAACGAGCAATCCCTCCCTTGCATGTGGCATCAATAATATGCTCTTTATCTATCTTGAAGAAGTAGCAAGCGCTCTTGTACTGAAGCTTTTTACCAGATTGGTATTCATTTTCCCTTTTGTCGGCAACACGCAGCCCCACTATCTCTCCAATATACTCAACAACCTACAAAGCACAAGGATACTACATCATATCTGGTATTATAGGAAAATACATTCCCCAATTTTAAAATATGAGAATGCCAAACCATTTCACTGCGGGAAATGAACCGAGACGTGTAAAGGCCAAGGGCATGTATGCCAGACTTGTACACTACTAGATGCTTCCAAAACTTTGCTTGCTTGTAGCGTGCATATTCTTTCTGCAAGTGAAAGTAAACATTGTAAGGTTAAGTAGTCTTATACATGGTAAATTTTACCACAGTTTCCAATTCCAATCACAAAACCCTGTATCTCATTCTATTGCAAATATTAGCACTAATCATGGTTATCAGTGATAATTAGATATATGATAATTCACAAGGGAGCAAAAGTGAGCCACGACTTTCTATTTCTGATGCAACATGAACTGACATCCTGAAGTGAAACGCCACATTTGCACAATCATCCTGAAGTGAGCCACAACTTTCTATTTCTAACATAGTTCGCATTTTCACAATGTGTTAGCCATAAAATTGCATCTCACTTATTAAAAACTGAATAACCAAAATGAATCATGAGGTAAAGCAGCCTCATCCCTCATGAACATACCCGACAATCATGCTCTATATCCGAGGCTGGCAGCTTTGGAAGCCCCTGAGTGGATGACTTCTGACCATTAATATGAACCCAAGCATTTAACTGCTCCTGAGGAACAAGGCATCCACCATTGCCCTTTGACTGACCATAATGATTATGCCTGAACCCATCACGTTTACGGCCCTTGTAACCCTACTCATAAACAAAAGAATGAAAAATCGAAGAACAATGAAATTAGAGAAGGATAATATAGAGCCTCATTCTGAAGGTAACTGAGTGGCACCCTCGCAAATACAATACCACAAAGTCAGGTCAAATACCTCAGTTCTAGCGCAAGTTAATTCCTGTTTTTCAATGCAACCAGTTTCAGGGACATGGCCTGATTCGCACATTGGGTATGTAGCATGTAGCACACATTTTCCATAAAAACCAATATTTTCATTGTCAACACCCTCAGCTTCACTTTGCAACAGACCCTGAAGGGGCCACACAGAAAAAAAAAACCAATGACAAGAAACACAATCAGTTTTAATGTGACAAGGAGTTTTTATAGTATGGAAAATATATACAAACCCCAATGAGAAGGCAACAAATTCCAAGAAAACACCACAAAACAAACAATATCAAGCACATTATTATACATCAGGTACATTTTTAAGAAAGAGTTGAGACCTTCTGATGAGCACACCAAGGGTGAAACTGAGCAGAACAATTTGCAATCCTGCACTGTATACATGAACCGCCTGCTCGCATACATATACAACAAACCTGAAAAAAAGTAGTTTAACGAAAGTACGAATTAATGTCCAACCAAAGGCGGAGGGGGGGGTAGGGTTTGTTGGGTTTGACCAAAAACATATTTACTTATGGTAGTTAATAGGGATGTGCTCGTATCTTATTATTTCCGAGAAAATCATGTTATTGTTCTCCCTCCCCATCCAACCAAAGAAAGGATATTTTAAATATTTTATTGACAGTCAATTGCATTTAACAGATGGACATGGTGCAAAAAGCATGTGTCATCTTATAACATTTAAAACATGCCCAGTCCTAATGTTCTCTCTAATTTTAGGCGTACCGAAGAACACACTAATTTGCTAAACTCCAGTTCCATTTGTTATATATCCAAAACCAAGTCTTTCAAAGAAAAGAATCTTGACAATCTCTATCAATATTTATACATCTATTTTTCCCTCAATTATTGATTTTAATGCTTACCACATCTGCTCTAGGATGTGCACCAGAGACATCAAAAGCACTCATGGTGTCAACATTTGGGCACCGTGTTCCAGGAGTCCAAAGCCCACAAACCATATGAACCCATTGCTTAGTTGCCGAATCAAGTAATCCCGCTGTAATGCTATTATGTACGACATCAACTTGGTAGGACATACCCATAAAACAGACAGCTGAGGTCAAGCAATGCCACCCACTCGAATCCTTTTGCAAAGTTTTAACTGATGAAAACTTATTCTTGGGCATGCTTTCTGTTTCAGTGTTCCAAGCTTTCAAAAGGGTTTTCACAACTGAGTGACTTCGCAGCGCTTGAGTCATGGCACCACCACCATAACCACACAGAACACAAACCTAGATGAAGAAACAAACACATTGCAATCCACAAGTTAAAAAAAAATATTTCAAGCGAAAGAAAATGAGTAAGAAACAAAACATGTATGAAGTTTTTTCTAAAAGAAAATTATACTAAAATAACACCCTTCCTCTTACAATATTTTTTGAACTGGTCCGGCATGGCCTGCAATACCAATGGCCTTTAGGTTGTTTTGAGACACCATAACAAGCCTGGTGCACCTGTTCATTATGAAACTTCTCCGTATCACCAAGTTATTACAAAAGAACTAGGATTATATTCAAGTTCAAGTTGAGCATGCTCTGGATTGCCACATACCTTGATTGAACATTGACTACACTCCAGTAAATAATTGATTTCATCGTTGTTTGAGCTACCACAAACACAGCAGAATGCATCTGAATCCAAATCAGAATGGCACCATTGCTCTAGAGTGGAACTGCAAGAAAATTTAGGAAAACCAATCATCAGTATTTATAAGAGAGTTTTAACAAAACACTCCCGGTACTGTTCACTTTAAACAAAAAACCACATTTATACCTTTCCCTGGTACTATTCATTATACCTTTAAAAGGGCTTTTCATTAAAAGGGAAGTTTTTTATGGACTTTTCGTTAGTTTTTCTTATTTAATGCATGTTCTTATTTTCCATTTGTATAACATGCCAAGAATGGGAAACATTGTTTACAAGAAATATCAGGAAGACTTTTAAAGCAAAATAATTAAGGGATCAATTCTCTTGCTCACATTTTAGCACTAAGTTTGCAGAGTCCAAGCTTATTTTCACCACTCTTTTGGAGTTGTCCTTCTCTCTCTGCTGGCAGACAATTTGAAATCTTTGAAGCAGAAGCACTTTCAAAGCTGGGATCCTTCCCTGATGAACAAATATCATTTAGGGTAAAGTATATAGTTTCAACAGTAGATTAAACAACAAAAGAAATGCAATACATTTGTATGTTTACCTTTCTCGGTTAATTCAGAAATGCTACGCTTGCGAATTTCCTTAGACTTCAGCTTCAATTGAGCATGGGCAATAACGCCTAGCTTACCATGATCTTTCTCACGTTGATTATCTCCCAATTTCTCCAATGAGGACAACTCTTTACGACATTTCTTTTCTCCAATGGAGCACCCTTTCTTCGTTTTTTCCATGGAAGTACCATTTAGTTTACCACAAACAACAGCCCCACCAGGGATTGTTTTCTGAAGTGATTTAGGATTACAATTTTTTGGGACCTTGCATCTTCTAGAAGAATTAAGAACCTTGCTGAGGGGAACAATTTTTGCTGGTTTTGGCGTGTCTCCAGGCAAACTTCCATTAGCTAGTTCACCATATTTTCCGCATACTATCGGTCTTGCCTTCCTATAACAAGTATTCACCAGCTGAATAGAACATGAATTCAAACACCCTACAGATGTTTGCTTTCTTTTTCTAGCACCTTCTTCACCTGATTCTTGTATTTTGACATGCCTCGAACCATTAGAATTGAAATCCCTCTTACATTTCTTTCCCCCAGAAACTTCGGCAGTTTCACAGTTGGCACCACCACTTGGTTCTGTCTGGTAAAGATCAGTTTCCTCTCTGTCATTGTCATCATAGAATTTGCGCAAATCTCTTTTACGTGAAAGCTTCTTTTCTGAAGACGATATAGGCAGTCTGGGTTTGGAACTGGACTGAGTTGCACAGGCCCCAAAGGTATGAGTTTTGGATTGCCCCAATGGAATGAGCATCTTCGCACTTTTTGACGGATGAGAGGGAACCTGAACAGGGTCATTACATTTGGGGGTTTCTTCTCGTACAGGATAAGGACCTGAAGTGGGACATGTCTTGGAACCCATTTCTCTCTTTTTCTTCCCAGTTTCCAAGTCTCTCTCAGAGTTCTGGGGATATTTGTCAAGCCCAGCTGGGATTTTCTGTTGACCTTTTCTCCATGTTAAAGAGTTTAGGAGCTTAAGCTCATCCAGAAGGCTAGATGATTGATGATTTAAATTCTTAAAAGACCCAAGTTTTCTCAAGCTGGTTGAGGCAAAGAACTCCGCACTTTTTACGCTTTCAAGTGCATCATCTGATGACCCGCATTTATCAATGCCTGACCCTTCGTCAAAAACAAGATTACTTACACATCCATTATCCCCAGCATCAACTGTTGAAGAATCTATCTTGTTAACCTCAATTGATGCCTGGGTAACAGCCGGCGCAGAACATCCAGAAGAAATATTAGAAATTTCATGCTCTTTCGAAGATTCCACCATCTGCAAAGTACCATTGGAGTGTTTAACACTAGTATCTGCAAGCTGCTCACTATCTTGTCTTCTCGCATCAAACAAATTAGATAAACGGTCCACACGCATCACATCAGAAACTCCTTTGACCTTACTCGGAACATCTTTCCACTGTGAAGCATTACAGATGTTCTTGGGTAATTTCCCATTCAACTTTCTCCTATGATCTAAGGAAACAGTTTTATCCTTTGGAACAATATGGTTGTTAGCACATTTATGAGTAAATGTCGTGGGGGATTCACCATGGACTGTTCCAATTTGTTCGTTAAAGGCAGGAAAACCTCCAACTCTTTCAAAATTCATTCCTAAACAGTTTATGTTGGCTGCACAACTGCAGCTGCCATGAAAACAACCATAGGGAACTTTGTGGTAGCATCTTTCATGCCCTCTAGGCTCATTGGTGTTCTTCCCACTTCTGCTATGCACAAACAATAAAGGAAGAGAGCTGTTAGAGGGAGCAGATATCACACTGAAATTTTTCAGGGAAAATATTGTACATCAAAGATTCCATACAGTAAATTCAAAGCATATGAGTAAACCAAAATGCTTAAGAGAGCATAACTGATTAGTAAAATGAAAGACACCTGGGAGTGTCGATGAGCTTATAACAGCTAATATGCCACATATAAATACAAATTCACTTGCAGTTATAAATATAAATTCATCAACAGATGAACATGTGCCCAGACATACAAACATACATCACAATCCAAGAGTTTAAAGGCAAATGCCCCATACAAAATATATAAAAAAAGCAGATAAAAATTGTGTATGTATGTTTGTGCATAAGGAAATTGGCATGAATGTCTAAACACTAAGATAAGATCTCAAACCATTCAAACAAAATTCACAAAACTGATCTCAGATGAAACACTGATCCAGATATTCAGGGTAAAATATTGAGATAAGGCAGGATGGAGCACTTCTGACACTAAATACCTTCAAATTTTAATACCAACTTCCAATAAAATGTGATACAGTACAAAATTAAAAACTCCAACTGAGAACCATTCTAGATATTAAACTAACCTCGATGAGTGTTGCTCATTAAACAGAGGAACAAAGGAAATTTGATGATTCATATCAACTTCTTTAGAATGTAATGCAGTTCCTTGTTTCAATGTTGACAAATGACAGCAGGTGTTAACACCTGAATGAAAACAAAGCCAATGTAAGATTTACACTACAAGAGTGAAAAAATCAATTCCTGCGTAACCAAACTTATACATAGGCATTAAAAAAACAGTGTTCTTACCAGTCATGGAAGCAAAACCTTCATCAGTTCTAATTCTACAGCTGGCACCTGGTTGGTGTGATTTAATGGTGACATCATGGTTACTGGTATGACTAAGTTGTTGGACTTGCTTCTCGGACGCTGAAGTGTCAACAAGAGAATTCTGCATATAAGAAGAGCAACCAAATCTTCCTTCCCCTCGGTTCATGGGAAGGGAAGGCCATGCCTGGTGTTGCTTCGATAACTCCAGTATTTGCCTTATTGCAAGCAGTCGTGAATTATCATCGGGCAAGTGAGTGGTTAGTCCAGTTAACTGTTCTCTAGATAAAGCAGGTGGATGATGACTCTGATCTGATACAGATGTTGAAGCACTAACAGGAATGCATTTTGAGACTCCATCTGATGAAAAAATTATGCCAGATCCTACCGATGAAGTCAAGGGTGGGAGATCAACATGACCAACTTGCCCACTATTACTAAAAGAACAAATCTTCACAGGAAAATTAGAATATCTTCTAGAATCAGGTCCATTGGGTGCTACACCAGACAACTGGTGTGAGTAGCAGCTGTCTTTATGTACTGTTACGAAACGAGGATCACTGCTTCCACTCAATCCATTGAAAGAGCTTGAGATTTCAATTTCCTTCTGAATTCTACACCCTGAATCCTTTGAAAGGTGAGAATCATTTGCGACAAAACTTGCCCCTTTAGCCTTGTCAATTAGTCTATAGGAACCCAACTGAGACATGTTCAATTGCCTTTGTAAATTATTACCTCCATTCCGGGGGCCACTAGTGAGCTCAGACTTGGCAGAATGAGTTTCATAATGTTGTGTACTTCGCATAGCATGCTCACCTCCATTATATATATAATTACTGGCTTTTGGTCGTGAATTTTCATCAGGTGGAGCATTGAGATTGGTAAGAAATGAAATTACAGAATCCTGGACCAGGTTGCAATTGGTTTTCTCTACTCTTGCAGCATCCATCGCATTACTGATTACAAATGCATTATTTCCACGGTTTAACTGCTTTCCATCTCTTTTTGTGCTGGGATTATATGGAACAGCAGAAAACTGAAGAGATTGGCCAAATTTCACCCCTTCACTGCAGTTGGCTGCTGCAAAAAGAATAAATATCCACAAATTAAATGCTATATGGTTGATTAGCCATGATGGGAAAATGAGAACATATTAACATAGAAAAGTTTACACCATAGGTACTATGCTTTATGGGAAGAAAAAGAAGAAGAGCTTTGACGCACTGTTAGGAATCATCTGTTCAGGAAAGAGAGACTTCAGTGGATTTGCATGTGTGTCCAATAGCTGTGGACGTACAGCTGATAGATTTGAATTTCCTGAAGTTTGAGTTTGACCCAACTGGTATGGTTGACCAAGCCTCAGCTCAATATTTGAAATTGCAGCATCCCTGAAGGCACCATCCTTCCCATTTACAGTTCTGCAAACGTTTGATTCTGTACCAATGATTCTTTGGTTCTGTAAAGAATGGTGTGTAATGGATGAATTTCCATTCTTCATGGTGGGGTAGGTAATGGATGAATTTCCCTTCTTCATGGACTCAACGTAAGCAGATGCGGACTGACAGCTATCTTGCAGTCCACAACCAACTAAATTTGAGATTGACTTAGTGCACTCCAATATCAGGTTATCAGCCATACCATGTAAATTGTTCTGTGAAGTGCCAGTCAAACCCTTGAGAGAAATGTTGTTGCTATCCTGACTATTCCTTTGTTGTTTATTTTGTACAGAACCAACAGCAGAATTCTGGTTTGTAAGGAGGCTCTTTAAGAGCGCAGCACCATCTAAAGACTGCTGAGAACTTGCTGAACCTCCAGATGAGCGAACCATATGAGACAAGTTATTGGATATGTTGGGCATAGTCAGACTAGATTTCGCCAAAGAGGCAGTTGCTGATAATCCTTCAGGCCAGTCCCATTCACTCCGATCTCCCGGAACCCTAATCTAAAGCATCATAAAAATATCACGATCCAGTGTTGTCGTTCTTCAAAAACATGCAAATAAGAAATCCAATTCTCAATTCAAAAGACAATAATAAATTAGTCAAAAGGGGGAGAAAACATGGTAATTGACGACGCGGAAGTAAGAGTCTAAACTCAATAACTATGGTTCTTTTCAAATAAAACAAGAAATAAGGATTCAGGTTCCTAGAGTAAACACTTGAGGTTTTATCTGCACGAGTAACTCTTTGCAACACACAAGCACACTCCTAAACGTTGTGACACTGACACACATACACACAGGGGAGACAAACATGCCCATGCATCTACAGATATGAACATATGCATGCATGCACTTGCACTAAGACATGCGCACAAAGGCAACGTCACAAAGCAATAGAGCATAAAGCAAAAGGGAAGTATTTGACTTGAAGATCTTACCCCAGAATTCAGGAAGTAGAGCTTGCACCACTGGGCAATGGTCTCTCCACTGTCCATACGAACGACGTCCCCCGGGTTGACATCATATAACCCTGAATGCTGCAAAATAAGTTACAGTGATTTTTAAGCAAAATTACAAGTCAATTTCTTTGCAAATATATATCAGAATTAGCAAATCTGTAGTATCATTGAATCACTAACCTACCTCGCAAAATTTCAGGACAGACATGTGGAGACAATGGCATGAACAAACAATTCCAACAAGTCCTGTATTGCTGAGAAGTAGATAACCACCTTTTCAAATAATAAAAATATCAACTTGAAGTTCAGAAAGTAAATTATCATCCAAATATCAAAGTCAATAATAAGACCAATGTCCTTAAGGCACTCACTAGTGGTTGAACAAAAAACACGAGGGCAACCATTCATAAAACCCAATGCTTGGTTAGATATAGAGGTGCTTGCATCCATTGACTTTGTTCTTGAAGATTGAATATTTGCTCCACAAGCCTTCGCTGCCTTCCTAGTATCTGCAGTGCTAACACCATGCCATTCCCCGCTCAAGGAAAAAGAGCCCCTTACCTTCTCACTACCAGAGACCATGTCACATGTGACTACCTTGGCCAGGTCCGAACTCTGCAGATCATACAAAACAGATTTGCTTCCAAAACTGGAGCTTGGGACTGACTTTGATGAAACCTTAAAAGAGCCTGCTCCGCCTTGCAGGTGTTGCCCACTCATATTTTCTGGGAGTAGCCCACTGGATGTGACTGGAATGGCACTTCCGGTACCATTCACAATGAAATTATTACTATCTGGCAGACGCTTACAAGAGGTACCCATAGGCTTTGGATTTGATAATCCTTGAAAATCACACTGGAATACTGATTGTGACCCAGATAAGAGGGCTAGAAATGAATTTCCCAACGTAGCATGTTCTGATCTTTGGGAATCTGAATACGGAATGCTTGAAAGTACAGGATCTTGTAATCTACCAAGCATTGTGGGTCTTAAATCTTGTGAGCCATGTGGATAAGAATAATACCCTGGATTGCTCTCCATCTATATTGCAAATAAAAATCCATGTTCGTAAAGTGAGAAAAAACATACCAAGATCACAAAATTAGAAAATTTAAACGCATAGAGGGATAAGCGTTTTCAGAATGGTGCAAAGTACAATTAATAAATATTCAAAGAATACATATGTTTCACATACATTAAGAAACAGGGCTATAAGAAAGATACAAAATATTTGACCTTGAACACAGTATCTCAATCGCACGCCCGCTTGTCGCGACAAACACCAGTTCATAGAGAATGTTGTTCCCCTAGGTTACTGTCACGGTCAACAATCACATTGTATATGTACATTCTTTCTCCTAGCAAACATGCACACATATGCATTTTTGTATTTAAGGGAATAATAACAGCGAAAATCATAATCAAAGTAGACGGGCAACGAATCTACTAGAAGCACAATGTATCCTAGTTAACAAATACCGAAGTTTGTCACACACTCATTGAAAAGTAGAAATGCTTTGGAAATAAATAAACGAAGTACAAAAAAATTCGTAATCGGGAAAAAAAAAAAAAAAAAAAAGCTCACTAAAAGACTTAAACTTAATCATTCCAACGCCTACAAGGCTACAACCGTTCTCCAAGACCCCATGGTCCAAGGAAACTGTGGTCGCCCACCGTTCGATCTTCTTCCAACGCTGAAGGAGAAAGTACCACAATTTTCTTGGACCATCGGGGTTTGGAGAACGGGACTCCCTACATTATATACACATGCAACACTTTTTTTTCTTTCTAAACTGGCTGAAATGTGCTTCCTCTGACAATTTTTCTACACAGCTATCTCAATGTACAACACACTTAAGCACAAGCAATCAATTAACATCAACTACAAAATATACTAAACAAACAATTAAAAGAGCAAAAAAAAAAAAAAATTTGAAAAAATCACCAAAAGGACACAGTACCTGATTCCGAAGCTCCTGAGAGGACGAGGAAACCATTGACGGGAATGTCGAACTATATTTAGGCTTCCACGAGCTCTCCATCTTCCGGAGCTCTCAGAAACCCTAACCGCCGTCAAACACCACCATCAAATGCCGGCGATTATCTCCCGGAAACGAAAATCGGCCCAACGGCTACTAAGACATGGTCGCGGCGGTCAAAAAAATCGGAAAATCAAAAGCAGCAGAGAAACCCTAGGTTTCAGCAGAGAGTCGAGAGAGAAGGAGAGTAGAGTGTAAGCAGTGGAGCTTTCACAGAAGCAAAAGCTTGAGATAGAGAGAGCATCTCTCAGTGGTTCGAGGCAGGGCTAAACAGCGCACTGATGCTCACGCGCTGACGCGTGTGGCGGGATAAACGAATGTCAGCCGTTAGATTGTTTGTTGGTAATTGGTGGGAAAGCAGGGGCGATGTGGACCGTCGATTGTGAAAACAGCTTGGATTCGGTGGTTTGCATTGGTTGGGAAAAAGAAGACCGGTCTTGTTATGGTCGGGCACTGTAGCGTCACAAGTACCACTCGAAACGAGAGGGAAATGTTGCGCACGCATTTTCTTTTTCTTTTTCTATCTTCTCAATCGGTTGAATAAACGAATTGACAATTGAACCACCCAAATGAAAAATGAAAGTGCGTAAAAAACCACTATAATTGTGCGGAATTGACTTTTTGAGGAAGTTCGAATCACATGATTTATATTATTAAGTGATCGTTAAATTTGAAAAAAAAATTTAAAAACCAAATGATTATTAAGTTTCTTAACGTATGAATACATAAGTTCACAACATAATTGGTTGATAATATCATAAAGCAATGCGCCCAGGTAGTGTAATCAATCATACATTATGTGTTAGGTGGGAGGAAGTTGGGACCACCAAAAGATTGTGTTTGTGTTTGGACAAGGGGGAGCAATGCAACAAATATAATAAGTAGATTTCATAAATCTCCATCTCCAAATTTGGGGTGGAATCCAACTCCAGAAATTGGATAAGGATATTGTTATACCTTTTCATAGGATGTCTTAGATTTTAGGACTCGCCATGATGCCTACAAAGGTTTAGACTGAAAGTGGTATTTTGTAGCCAAGCTAGCCCTAGGCCCCTAGCCATGTTTCTACTGCTAAAAGCAGGAAATCGCAACTTTTGGAAGGCTAACATTTTTCTTCATTCCCAATAAGAAGGAAAGTCCACATACTATTTAAAGTGTCATTATTTTATTGTACAAATGTTATAATTAAAATCATTTATTTTTATTCTTATCATTTAGATATAGTATCTAAAAAAAAATATTTGATATGAAAACTGTTTGGTCATCCATATTAACTTTAGCATGTTAGAGAAAATAGTCGAAGCAGAGCAGGCATATATTTTGCACCCGAATAATTAAGCAAATACCAAAAAGATTCCACACATGTATCATGGACCAACTGGTTATGCAAATAATATCACTGTCAACAAATAAAATAGCAATTAACTAATAAAAGAACAGCAAATAAACACGAAACTATTTATATCATCTCAACTGATCACATGTACCATCTTGGCTAGATGGTAGTACTTTTGATGGAACACAACTCAGAGTTCAGTTGCTATCGAGAGTCGAGTTGGTGGAAGGACAATTGGACAAAGTGCCCATCCAAGCTGGTGGCTTCATGCCAGTTTGTTCATGAACTGTATTGAACAATGGTGGCAATGCCTTGTAAACACCAGCAATCTCCTTCATAGCGCCGTTGGCACCACTGTCACCGCCTTCCCCACCGTTATTAGTCCAAATGCTAATCTTCGGCTGAAGACCACGCACGGCTTCAGCATTGATCTTAGCAATTTCTTGAAACATGCCACTGTTGATCATCATATAGTCCCTCATGGCTGCATAGTTGCCTCCAAGCGCATCCCAAAGGGAGCGTAGATATGCGCCTTGGGCTTGTCCGAGCGCCATGAGTCCCTCAGCCTCTTTTTGCTTTGCATAACATTCTGCATCAGCAGCTTGTTGACGAGCATAGAGCTCCGCCTCTGTCGCCTTCTTCTTCGCATAAAAGTCTCCATCGGCAGCTTGTTGACGAGCAAAGAGATGTGCCTCTGCAGTTGCCTTTTGTGCCTCAGCCTCTTTCTCTCTTTGGTAAAGAATTGCATCCGCAGCTTTTTGTTCTCTGTAGAACTCCGAATTTGCCGATTGCACCTTTGTTTCGCATATGAATAATGGTGCTAAATCAAGCTCTGATCTTATATGCATGCATGTAATAGTAATAGAAGAAAAGTGAAGCGATGTATATATGCTCTATAGTTAGTACATAAAAAGTGCACGAACTTAATTTCTCGTGTGTGCAAATAATACTCCATGTGTCCACATGTATAAGTTATGCAATGCACTTTAACCCTAGTCGGCATGTTTGGGGTCCCTGCTATCAAATTCTTCTGCAAACAAGTCATAAGATTGAAACTTGAAAGTGCTTCTTGAAGTACCTTCCCAAAGCATGAAAAGTGCACTTCTAGTTATCTGACATAACTCCTTAGTAACTTCAATATTTATGTGAAAACGCTTTTAGTCATTTCAAAAACATTTTTAAACATGTCGGTGTTGTAATTAATACAAGGAGACCAATACATGCACTTCAAAATCAGCTCATACTAATACATGCATTTTAGATAAAAAGTGCAAGAACCTATGCCACAAATGGTGCAAATAAAACTCGAAAAGTAAGACATATATAACACACACACACATACATAAATCCTGCAATTTAGACACCCTGGTTTTGTGCATTTGTGCTTACTAAAACTCTCTACACTGTCAAAGGTGCAATGAGAGAATAAACCTTAAAGCAAAGTAATAAGTTAATTAAAAAGCTACCTTATATGTTAAAGTTTCACCGAATTTCAGAGCTCAGATTGCTATTAAAAAAACAAGCATATTGGAATAATACTACAATAAATCAACGATGTAGCTAGGTAATAAGTAATACATTTGGATGACTAAATAATGATTTTTGGTAAGGATATCTTCAAATGAAGATTAAGAAATTCAATGGTTCGACTATATGAAATTTCTATTTGTACGTAGGAGAATGGGATCATCAAAAAATAAAATAAACAAGTATTATCCTTAGTAAATTATGATCAAATAACACTAGTTAACATAACTTTTTCATCCCAATCCGAAAATATGACACCAATTAATTTGCATCTATATATATTCAATTTATTTGTTTAGAAGGAAAAAGAAACAAGCAGAAGACGCACCTTGGTTTCATACTTAACACTGGCCTCAGTCAATAACTCAGCCTTAAGCTTCTCCGTCCTAGTCAAGGCATTCATCCTCTCCACCTCCTTTTGCAACTCCGCCTCTCTCAACGCCACCGCCTTCGAAGCCTCCACCTCCGCCACATGCGCCTCCTTTGCCCACCCAGCCTTCTTCTTTGCCAGCTCAGCATTGGCCTTCGCCACCTCAGCCTCCCTAATATTCTCAAACACCTTCACCTCCGTCCTCGTCTTAATCTCCTCCATTTTCCCCTCTCCCTCCCTCTGCGTCCTAAAAATCTTCGTCTCTGCATCAATCTTGGCCGCGTTCTGCAGCGTCAACCCCTCCCTCTCTTTTGACCCTATCTCGCCTTTCTTCTTCGCCTCCGCCACATCAACCCTAGCCTTATTCGCCGCCTCCATCTGTATCTTCTGCCCCAAGTAGCTAAAATACTCATGCCCACGGACGTCCACCAACTGTTTGACATTTGCATTGTAAATCAAAAGCCCGAATTGATTCAATTCCAACTGAACCTTGTCAAACACCTCTTTCTTAAATTCTTTGGTCCCCTTGAACACGTCCTCCATCGTCATCGAGGCGGCCAGAACGCGGGTCTCGCCCTCGATGATGCCCTGGACGAGGTCTTTGACGTGGCTGGAAAGCTGATCGTGGCGGCAGAGGAGCTTAGCGTACTTGTGGAGGCTGGGCACGTCGTCGACGCGGGGACCGATAGTGAAGACGGCGGGGAGGATGAAGGGGAGCTTTTCGGAGCTCATGGCTTGGACTTCGAAGGTGTAGTTGACGGGGGACATATCGAAGACGCTGCAGGATTGGCCGGGCAGAATCCATGCCTTCTTTGCAAGCTTGACGTCATCGATTCCGACTCCGGTTATCACTAAATACTCTGAAGCGTTCGCAACTCTGTACCACAACATGGTTACGCACGTACGTTCCTTGTTCTTTGTTCTTTGTTCTTTGTTTGTGGGCAGCAGTGCTTAGGGCTAGGATTTGAGATCTTGGCCGAAAATTTTAACTGTAATTGTACTAGCTAGGGTTTTTTTTATAGGTAATGCTAGGGACGTCGAAACCTAATTAATAATTCAATCACCTTTAAACACTATCCCTTAAATAAAGAGTTAGGGTTTGGATGGACTTGTGACTCCTCCGAATATATAGTTTCTCATTGTAATTAGACCTCAAATATAGGAAGGAGACCAGTGAAATATAACAAACCAAGGATTTCACTATTTAATTAGTAGTTGGAATCGGATAAACTGCTAATTGACCTATTAATTTGCAGTATGAGTAACACTAGGAGAGATTTTTCAATGTGATGGTCACACGAGATGATACACACGTGTCTCTATATAAATGGTGGGATATGTGTTAAAAGGTTGATAACTTAAAAATTAAAATTTTTCACCACTTACATAAAAACATGGTGCACCATCCATGTTCCCGTCAAAACTAAAAATTTCTCGTAACAGTAGAGTAGAGGATAATAGCTGCTCCGTATTATGTGGTCAACTATAATATCCCTTAGCATTTTCATTTGAACTATTCAAAACCCGTTCTTTTTCCTTTTTTTTTTAATAAATAAAATTACTTGATCTTTTCATAAAATTACAAATGTTATTAGAATATTATCTGTCCTATAATTTAAGGGTGTACTGTAATCTCCTAATTAATGCTAGTTTAGTGCACTCAGTTTTATATAACAGCATGGTTGTGTGTTTCACGTAAATGAGTGATCTTGTTTGATAGAATTGTTGGAGTATATTGATCTGCCATGGATCAGCGGTGGCTGAGATATATTCTTTGTCCACTCGCGTGTGGATGACTGACTCAAGCATTGTTTCGAGAAATTATTGCTTACAAGAATTTAAGATTGGAAAGGTTGGAGAGGGAGGGTGGCATGGCCCTAGAGAAGTTACCGTGGTAGAGATCCAAGCGTGCTTAAGGCTACCATTCCCTATATATAATATATACATCCGCGCGAGACTCAGAAACACCAACAAATACTTCTTATCAGTCACTAAAACAAAATTCTCACTGATCACTAAATACAAGAAAATCTGCAATATCATTAGCTCTAAATTAATGCATGATAGTCCATGATCCGACAGTGATGTAGTACTTTCGATTGAACACAATTCAGAGTTCAGTTGCTATCGAGAGTCGAGTTGGTAGTAGGAGAATTGGACAAAGTGCCCATCCAAGCCGGTGGCTTCATGCCAGTTTGTTCATGAACTGTATTGAACAGTGGTGGCAACGCCTTGTAAACACCAGCAATCTCCTTCATAGCCCCATTGGCACCACTCTCCCCGCAGCCATTAGTCCAAACGCTAATCTTTGGCTTTAGACCACGCACCGCTTCAGCATTGATCTTAGCAACTTCTTGAAGCATGCCACTCTTGATCATCATAAAGTCCCTGATAGCTGCATAGTTGCCTCCGACTGGGTCCAGAAGAGAGAGCAGATATGTGCCTTGGGCGTGTCCGAGGGCCATGAGTCCCTCAGCCTCTTTTTTTCTTGCATAACATTTTGCATCAGCAGCTTGTTGACTAGCATAGAGCTCTGCCTCCGTCGCTTTTTTCCTGGCATAAAAGTCTCCATCAGCAGCTTGTTGACGGGCATAGAGTTGTGCCTCTGCAGTTGCTTTTTGTGCCTCAGCCTCTTTCTCTCGTTGGTAAAGAACTGCATCCGTAGCTTTTTGTTCTTTGTAGAACTCCGAATTTGCCGATTGCACCTTTGTTTCATATATGAATATGGTGTTAAATCAAGCTTTGATCTTATGCTTTATGCTAATAAATTGTTAAACTAAGCTTTTGTGCATACATGTAATTGTAATACGAGAAAAGTAAAGCCTTATCAGGCATTAGTACATAAAAGTGCATGAAACTAACTTATTTCTCAAGTGCAAATAATATAACATGATACCCTCTGCTCATAGAAATCACAACAAAACTTTTATTAAAATTTCAAATGCATACTTTCAAAAAATACTTAAAAGCGCTTTTTGAATACATAAGCATAAAAAAGTCACAAAACACGGTCAAAATTGTTTTTAGTTAGTGTAATGTTAAAGAAACAAAATTTGTAAACTAAATCATTTCAAAACATTCTCCCACCGAATTATAATTAATATGGGGAAGCAATTCTAAACTTGCTGCATCAGTACATAAAAGTGAAAAGAAGCTGCTACAAATCAATTAATCCTCCAAAAGTCAACATATATAAGTTCTTCAAGTTTTATGCTCACTCTCTAGATTATCATATCTCAATGGAATGGAATAAAATCTACGCAAAATTAAACTAGAAGCAACTAATAAAGCTACCACTTACCAGTATCAGAAAAGAAAAGAAAAACTAATCGAGCTACCTTAAGGTACAAACAGGCATTCATCTGTTACTCCATATTTGTGTTGGATCCCAATCATGCATAAGCTTTGAAGTTAGGTTAAACAGTTACAGCTTCCTTAGAAAAAGTAAAAGCCCTTATTACTGTTTCACCTATTTTCAAAGCTCATGATTACGATGCAACACAAAACATATGAAAATGATAAATCAATGCACTGATGCTACAGTATTGAACCAAATTTAACAATCGTCGATCTATCATTGTATTGTTCTCCATGCGCATTTACACATAAATTATCAACTATTTATAGCATAATATTGTGATTTTGGTCACATATTTTTTCATAGCTGCGTAAATATGATTATTGTTCTCCTAGCTAGTCAACGATGTTCAAAGATTAATGGTCACTTTTGATTCACCTTTAGATTTAATATTAAAGGTTGAGAGTAAACATTAAAAACACTTCATTTAATCTCAGGATTAATTTTAAATTTAAAGATGAATGACTAGAAAACATTTCTGTAGGATTACCAACTTAATTTGCATATGTGCATTCAATTTTACATTGTTTAGTAAGAAAACAGAAGACCACAGGACGTACCTTGGTTTCATACTCAACATTGGCCTCAGTCAATAACTCAGCCGTAAGCTTCTCCTTCCTAGTCAAGGCATTCATCCTCTCTACCTCCTTTTGCAACTCCGCCTCCCTTAAGGCCACCGCCTTCGAAGCCTCCACCTCCGCCACGTGCGCCTCCTTGGTCCACCCGGCCTTCTTCTTCATCAGATCAGCATCGGCCTCCGCCACCTCAGCCTCCCTCACATTCTCAAACACCTTCACCTGCGTCCTTGTCCTAATCCCCTCCATCTTCTCCTCTCCCTCCCTCTTCGTCCTAAAAATCTTCGTCTTCGCATTAATCTTGGCCGCGTTCTGCAGCGTCAGCCCCTGCCTCTCTTTCGACCCAATCTCCCCGTTCTTCTTCGCCTCCGCCACGTCAACCCTAGCCTTATTCGCCGCCTCCGTTTGTATCTTCTGCCCCAAGTAACTAAAATACTCTTGCCCCGGAGCGTCCACCAACTGTTTGACATTTGCATTGTATATCCACAGCCCGAATTGATTCAATTCCAACTGTACCTTGTCAAACACCTGTTCCTTAAACTCTTTTGTCATCTTAAACACGTCCTCCATTGTCATTGAGGCAGCGAGAACCCGCGTCTCACCCTCGATGATGCCCAGGACAAGGTCTCTCACATTGTTGGAGAGCTGATCGTGGCGGCAGAGGAGCTTGGCGTACTTGTGGAGGCTGGGCATGTCGTCGGTGCGGGGTCCGATGGTGAAGACGGCGGGGAGGGTGAAGGGGAGCATTTCCGAGCTCATGGCTTGGACTTGGAAGGTGTAGTTGACGGGGGTCATGTCGAAGACGGTGCAGGTTTGGCCGGGCATAATCCATGCCTTCTTTGCAAGCTTGATGTCGTCGATTCCGACGCCGGTGATCACTAGATACTCTGAAGCGTTCGCAACTTTGTACCACATGGTCGCGTACGTACGTTGTTCTTTTGTTTGAAGGCAGCAGAGATGAGGGTTATGATTTGAGAACTAAGACGAAAGAAGCAGTAATAGGACTAGCTAGGGTTTTTATTAGGATTTGGGTGTTCAACAAAAACAGCGATAAGGGTCATGATTTGAGATCTTGGGCGTAAGTTGTGTAACCGACCTATTAATTTGCAGTTGGTACTTCCAGTGATGAGTAACACAATTTCGATCGAAGTAGCGATAATAGCTCCTCCGAATCAGAATCGTCATTTGAATTCTTAATACATATTCTTTTACATTTCATTTTTAATTTAATATAGGCCACGTAATTATGATATGAAAAAATGCAGTAAGTGTACATAATATATTCATTCCACAAAAAACTATATACAAATTTGAAATCCCACATATATTTCTCACAATTATTAAACACGTGAGACACAGAAGAATCTGAGATTGGTAAAAGTACTCTTAACTCAATTGAGAGTTTAGTTGCTAGAATGGGAATTGTCCAAAGTGCCCATCCAAGCCGGAGGCGACATGCCGGTTTGTTCATGAACCGTCTTGAACAACGGTGGCAACATCTTGTAAACTCCGGAAATCTCCTTCATAGCCCCATTTGCACCACCATCACCACCCTCTCCCCCGCCATTAGTCCAAATGCTGATTTTCGGCTGAAGCCCGTGCACGGCCTCGGCGTTGATCTTAGCAATTTCTTGAAACATGCCACTATTGATCATCATAAAGTCTCTCATGGCTGCATAGTTGCCTCCAACTGCATCCAAAAGGTGACGTAGATATGCACCTTGAGCTTGTCCAAGGGCCATGAGTCCCTCAGCCTCTTTTTTCTTTGCATAAAATTCTCCATCGGCAGCTTGTTGACGTGCATAGAATTCTGCCTCTGCCAATGCCTTTTTGGCATCTGCCTCCTTCTCCCTTTGGTAAAGAATTGCCTCTGAGGCTTTTTGTTTGTTGTATAACTCCCAATTCGCCTCTTGTACCTTTAATTTGTTTATAAACACTGTTGTTAGATAAAGCTTTGACACAATAAACTTTACTAATCTATATATGGATTTGGAATTAATGGATATAAGCAAAGCGAAGGAATATGTCTTATCAACAAAAAAAAAAAAAGAACAAAAAGAAGAAGAAAAAAAAAAAAGACTTTTGAAACTCCAATATGCATGTATTTAGTTTGTTAATTAGATAATGTAGGTTGAGATAGTGGAGGAGTAAAAAATATGCATGTATTTTGTTTGTTAATTAACTGACATAATGTGAGACAGTGGCAGACTCAAGATTTCATGTTAGAGTGCGTCTAATAAATTCTAAACCAAAACATCATATAGATGAGTTATATGTTCCAAAACCAAGTATCACCAACTCATGTTGAGAAGCTTCAAGAACATACCAAAGAAAATTGAGATTAAGAGATAAACCAGACATCAATAGTAATCAATAGTATAAGATACAGAGGATTAGATAGATATCTCATCCAGATTAATTACTACTCAGTTAACTTAAGCGAGATTTAAGAGTAGAAAGATAAGAAATGATGAACTAACTAGAATTAATAAAAAAATAAAAGAAAGTTTAGAGGAATTTAATGGAAAAAAAGGAATTGTTTATAATTATGAGGATTCGTCATTTTGTATTTTGTAAATTTTTCGTTATAAAAGAATGCATGATGACTATTTTAGAGTTTAAATAGTAGATCGTCACATAAAATTAGACACCTTTGTTTCATACTCAACGCTGGCCTTACTCAAAAACTCAGCCTTGAGCTTCTCCGTCATAGTCAAGGCATTCATCCTCTCAACCTCCGTTTGCAACTCCGCATCCCTCAATGCTACTGCCTTTGCAGCCTCCACCTGCGCCACCTGCGCCTCTTTCGCCCACCCGGCCTTCTTCTTCGCCAGCTCAGCATTTGCCTCGGCCACCTCAGCCTCCCTTACATTCTCATACACCTTCACCTCCGCCTTCACCTTAATCTCCGCCATCCTCCCCTCCCCTTCTCTCTTCGTCCCATATATCTTAGTCTCCGCGTCAATCTTAGCCGCGTTCTGCAATGTCTCCCCCTCCCTCAGCTTCGACCCTATCTCCCCCTTCTTCTTTGCCTCCGCCACATCAACCCTTGCTTGATTCGCCGCCTCCATCTGTGTCTTCTGCCCCAAGTAACTAAAATACTCATGCCCTGGGACATCCACCAGCTGTTTGACATTTGCATTATATATCAAAAGCCCAAACTGGTTAAGTTCCAACTGAACCTTCCCAAACACCTCTTGCTTAAACTCTTTGGTCCCCTTAAACACCTCCTCCATGGTCATCGAGGCTGCGAGAACACGCGTCTCGCCTTCTATGATTCCCTGGACAAGCTCTTTGACGTGGCTGGAGAGCTTGTCGTGGCGGGAGATGAGCTTGGCGTACTTGTGGAGGCTTTCCATGTCGTCAATGCGTGGGCCGATGGTGAAGACGGCGGGGAGCATGAAGGGAAGCTTTTCTGAGCTCATGGCTTGGACTTCGAAGGTATAGTTAACCGGGGACATGTCGAAGATTATGAAGGACTGGCCGGGGAGGATCCATGCCTTCTTTGCTAGCTTTATATCGTCGATTCCGACCCCCGTGATCACCAGATACTCTGAAGGGCTTGCAACTCTATACATTTTAGTTCTTGTTTACTTAAGCAATGGCAAGAGATATGGTATGAGTGAAGGGAAAGGATCAGAGGTATTTATACATAGAGAAATGCACAAGAGAAATAATTTATGTAAGCTGATATCAATTTTCTCAACGGTTACTTCGAAGCTGGTATCGACTTGGAATTTTGGGTAAACCTTGCTTTGATAATGTCAATGGAGAAAAATGGGTTGTCACTTCAGAGGAAATTGCATGCTACTTGCTTCTTCTTTCCTTCATTCTTAGCTTTTAAATGTTTTTTTTTTTTTCAATACAAGACGTCAACGGATCGATTTCGGATCGGATTGTATCACCCATTCATTTTAACGGATTTAACATAACATAATTTGTTAAGATATCAAATATGTCACAAAAAACGACGCAAACACGGAAAACACGACATGATTGCCATGACTTACAAGACAACGTGATTCAATTGACAAATTTGGCAAATTCTTTAGTTTATCTAGTTTTTGGTTGTGTGTCCGTTACAATTTTGTTCTTGTTGAGGTCGTTCTCGTTACCATATTGGCAAATGCAGCTGGCAAGGCAACCATTAGAAGAGGTGCCGTACGGTACGGACAAACTAGGGTCCCTCAATTCATTTAAGCAAAAAATTTGTAGTTATTTAAGCGACTTTTCTGCGCTAAATTTTTGTCAAATTTGAAACTTTTCATGGTTGTCATAGGGGCATTGATCGTTTTAATGTCTTGTGTATATATGCTTTGTTTTGTTTTTTGTTATTTTGATGTACGAATTTTGCAAAGGCTCGCCCCGAAGACTTCCCTTGTAGGGTTGCGTCTTAGACAATTGGATTTTGCCCTTACGGTACGGCCTCGGAAAACTGGCATATATACCATATCATTCCAAGAGGTTGCATATGGCCACTTTTTTGGGATCATCCTCTTCCCTCCTCTCCTCTTAACACTCATTTGTGTCCCATTGTCTATATATAAAAATCAATATAAATTATTAATGTAACTTAATTACAACCGTTCAAGTAAAAAGAGAGAAAAGAGAGATGGTGAGATTGGAACTTTTTCGTGTGCGGACAATTCGTCCACCTGGTCCAAAGACTAAATCTTTAAACTATATGATATGAAAGTTGATGATCTTCAATAAACATGTTTATTTCTTATTGATGACACTGACACATCATTTAATTTATAAATTTAATCAACAAATTTGATCTATGCAGCGTTCCTCTGTATTTATATAGAACAATTGGATTTGGAGAACAAAAGACACAAGGCATAACACCTTGGGAAAGGAGTTGGATGTGCAGCATTCCCTACCAACACCAACTATTGGAATCGTTACGCCGACAAATTTGTAAACAAAATTCATAACTGAAAAATCAAGGCATATTGAAGAAAATGAGACGAGAAACTCATCCAACTTGAAGGTCGATGCATGCAAAACAAAAAAGATTAAAGTTTCATTCGTGTCTAACTCCTTAAAACTCCCTCAAAACAAAAAATCATTCATGTCTACATCCTCTACCCTCATACGTACCATAAATGATACGAGTGTTCCCATCAAATTCAAATTCAATCCTCGACACTAAACGATCTAAAAGAACATACCCATGACGACGGTTGGAAATATCGGTATAAAAGCGATGGCAGTAGCATGGCACTAGACTAGCTACTAAATAATTGACTGCACTAAATTGGCAATCAATTTGGCGGAGACCCGTCACCCACACCATCGCAACAATATGAATACAAAATGATAAAGGGATAGTAAAATTCATGATAATGGTTCAACAAAAACCTTAATTCACCGTACACGGATCGAATATTTTAAAAGTAAATAAAATGCCAAAAAACAGTTCATCTGTCAAGAGTAGCTCAATCTAAATGCACTTCTTGCACAAAAGTAAAACTAACATTCTTCTCAGATATCATATTCCAGTGAATGCTTTCTTCCCAGTTCCAGATGAACCGGCTGGAGTCACCTTCAACACATTAAACCTCACTGTCTTTGACAATGGCCTACAAAATTCAGAGAGAATCACTGATTAAACAAAAGATAAATTGACGACTAATGGGTAAAACAAACTAAAGCATAAGAAACCAATCGTAATAGTTTAATAAGCAACATGCATAAAATCTAACCTGCACTGGCCAATAATGACATAATCTCCCTCTTTCACACGGAAGCAAGGTGAAACGTGAGCCGGAATGTTTGAGTGCCTTTTCTCATATCTAGAAATAAGTGAAAAATTAATTATCCTCTTGTTAAGAAACAGAACAGAACTTCACTTTCTCATAGTAATTTAGCCTCACCTCTGGTATTTTTTAATATAATGAAGGTAGTTGCGGCGAACAATAATGGTCCTTGACATCTTGGCACTGTGGCAAGTACCAGAGAGAATACGACCCCTGATGGAGACGTTGCCGGTGAAAGGGCACTTCTTGTCAATGTATGTTCCTGCAGTAACATGCAAGCAGTTCTTTCATGTAAAATATGACCACCAAACTTCAAATAACACATCATTCTACCATTTACAAATACAAAACCACTTCAAGCATTATTCAACTCCTGACATCACTCAACTCACTGGATCATCAAATGTACATGTCAAATGGCAACAAGCAACAATAAATTTCAAAGCATTCCACGGCATCTCTAAGTTATAGTACAAGCAAATGAACTGAGACGATACTACAATCCCACCAAAGAACACGAAGTATCACAGTTGTAAGATATTACTCATCATCTAGATATCCGAACTTTAGTCTCAGCTTAAAAAAGATGATAAATTTGTACACATTACACGAGTTCAATCAATCAGGGGTCCATGGATAATAATTAAACAACATAGCCCAAATGCTTGACAATGCAAATAATCTAATAAAAAGTAGGAAAATAGCTCTTTAGATAACAATTTAAAGCAAACAAAAACCAAAAAAAAATGAAAAACAACAATCGTAAAAGTAAACAGAGAAAAAACAAGAGATTAAAATATACCTTCGATAGCATCTCGGGGGGTCTTGAATCCCAACCCAACACTCTTCCAGAAGCGATTGCCTCCCTTTCCAGGCCTCTTTCCCTTCCCTGTCTTCTTTGAGCTGTAAAAATTCATAATATCCACATATATTATATACCCATTAATCTTAATATTCATGTTATTATATAAAATAAATAAGAAGAACCAATTGATTTCAGCAGAAGCAGATGAACGAAACCACGAACCAAATCGGATCTAAGCAGCTCGAAAAATATGATATTTTGAAATCAATTGGTTACCTGAGGAAAACCTTGGGCTGCTTCAAGAAAGCCTTCTCGGTCTGCAACAAATTCAAGCACGAACAGATTGATTCAGAAAACGGCAAAGTTAGAGAGAGACGTCGGAGAGAGAGGGATCTACCTGTTCCGCCATTTTGGAGCTGGTTCGAGGAGAGTGGTGGAAGCCGACGCCGTAAACAGAGAGACTGAATGAGCAACAAAACCCTAAGAGTGGGGCGAATATATGCGGAAACCCTAGTTGATGTAATGACTAAAATATCCTTGGGTCAGTTAAATTTCTACACCTCCGCAGCAGAACTTTTCATGATTTTTATCTATTTGCAGATTGACCAGTGTACCCTTCTTGTTAATTGTATTTTTATGGGTGTTATTGTTACGAACAATATGATGATTAGAGTTTGAATTTGAAATATAGTAAGTTGAAGAAAAACGTTATACTCACTAATATAAATGTACCGGTTTAATTTGACCGTAATATATAATTTATGTGATTACATATATTATTACAACCTAACTATTGGTTATATTAAAATTTTCCACCATACTAAAAAGCCACAAAATACATATTAAGCACTCTTCATATGAAATATAAAATAGATTTAAAGGAATTATAATGAAAAGTACACGATACTGTTCATTTTAACGAAAAATCATATTTTTACACTAAAAAATCAATCCTGATACTATTCATTTTGTCTTTTATTTTATGTTTATTATTAAAACTCAAAATTTTCAAACCTTTTTCATTAGTTCCCTTAGATTTAAAATACCAAAACCTTAACTACTCTTTCCCATATAATCACCAACAAGAGTTAGGGTTTGGATGGACTTGTGACTCCTCCGAATATATAGTTTCTCATTGTAATTAGACCTCAAATATAGGAAGGAGACCAGTGAAATATAACAAACCAAGGATTTCACTATTTAATTAGTAGTTGGAATCGGATAAACTGCTAATTGACCTATTAATTTGCAGTATGAGTAATACTAAGAGAGATTCCGTCACACGAGATGATACACACGTGTCTCTATATAAATGGTGGGATATGTGTTAAAAGGTTGATAACTTAAAAATTAAAATTTTTCACCACTTACATAAAAACAGGATGCACCATCCATGTTCCCGTCAAAACTAAAAATTTCTCGTAACAGTAGAGTAGAGGATAATAGCTGCTCCGTATTATGTGGTCAACTATAATATCCCTTAGCATTTTCATTTGAACTATTCAAAACCCGTTCTTTTTCCTTTTTTTTTTTAATAAATAAAATTACTTGATCTTTTCATAAAATTACAAATGTTATTAGAATATTATCTGTCCTATAATTTAAGGGTGTACTGTAATCTCCTAATTAATGCTAGTTTAGTGCACTCAGTTTTATATAACAGCATGGTTGTGTGTTTCACGTAAATGAGTGATTTTGTTTGATAGAATTGTTGGAGTATACTGATCTGACATGGATCAGCGGTGGCTGAGATATATTCTTTGTCCACTCACGTGTGGATGACTGACTCAAGCATTGTTTCGAGAAATTATTGCTTACAAGAATTTTAAGATTGGAAAGGTTGGAGAGGGAGGGTGGCATGGCCCCAGAGAAGTTACCGTGGTAGAGATCCAAGCGTGCTTAAGGCTACCATTCCCTATATATAATATATACATCCGCGCGAGACTCAGAAACACCAACAAATACTTCTTATCAGTCACTAAAACAAAATTCTCACTGATCACTAAATACAAGAAAATCTGCAATATCATTAGCTCTAAATTAATGCATGATAGTCCATGATCCGACAGTGATGTAGTACTTTCGATTGAACACAATTCAGAGTTCAGTTGCTATCGAGAGTCGAGTTGGTGGTAGGAGAATTGGACAAAGTGCCCATCCAAGCCGGTGGCTTCATGCCAGTTTGTTCATGAACTGTATTGAACAGTGGTGGCAACGCCTTGTAAACACCAGCAATCTCCTTCATAGCCCCATTGGCACCACTCTCCCCGCAGCCATTAGTCCAAACGCTAATCTTTGGCTTTAGACCACGCACCGCTTCAGCATTGATCTTAGCAACTTCTTGAAGCATGCCACTCTTGATCATCATAAAGTCCCTGATAGCTGCATAGTTGCCTCCGACTGGGTCCAGAAGAGAGAGCAGATATGTGCCTTGGGCGTGTCCGAGGGCCATGAGTCCCTCAGCCTCTTTTTTT